AATTGTATTTACAAATAATTTGAGCACACTGATGGGCTGTGGGGGAGGATGGTCTGGACAATAGAACTGGATCTGTGAAATACTATTTGAAATTCAGAAGTAGATGCACACACCGCATCCTTGCTGAAGTTCCAGGCTCACAAGCATTAAATACCTGTCCTCAGGGTCGCGTGGAAATGGGGAAGTCAGAGCTGTGTCTCCTGTTTTTGTGTATTTGATTCTCTGATTTGATTATTTCATTAGAAAAGATTTAATCAATATCTTTGCTGAAAATTGTACTACAAAAAAATTAAAACCACAGCTCAGCAGTATTTTTCCCAGGTCCATTAAAACAATGTAAAGTACTGGCTTAGATTCCAACTGAAATGTAAATTGCAACAAAATTCCTAACTTCATCATTTGCAAAGTAAGACCTGGAAAAAAAAATCCGGATCTTACACACCCATTTTATAGGCATAAGCACTTTATGGGGCTGCCTCTGCGCAGCGGATGAGACCCGAATTCCCAAGGCCGTACAGGTTTCGGCTGCCCACGGAGGGGTTGTGCATGCACACGAACTGCTCACACACCACAGTTACACGGCAGGCACAGGGCGGGCTGGAGAACTCATGGAAAAGGAGCTGTGAATGGAAATGGGCTTTGAGTGGCCCAAACCCACAGCTGTGGGTGATTCCTAACTTCAAAACCACTCCTTCTGGGGGATTTTCTCAGCTGCAGACCGTCTGCAACTCCTTTCCTTGGATTTTATTTTTAACATTTTATTTGTGAGCGCGGGGATGGGGAACGTGCTGGTACCTGCAGAGCAGGAGAGCTCTGCCCGTTGTCCTCTGGCTGCGGGAGGCATCCAGGTGCTGTGCTGGGTCTCTGAAATTCACATTCTGAGTTTGCAAAACCCACCCCGGTCCATCTGTGGGCCGTGCATTTGTGGGGTGTCTTCTGCTCAGGCTCTGCTCCGTGCAGGAGCTGCCTGTGCTGGGGGTGGAGGTGCTCAGGTCTCAGCTGGTGCTCGTCCCATAAAATGCCCCGTGGGCAGCTGGCACCCCTGGCACAGCCCGGACACCTTCCCAGGACGAGACCTGAATTAATCACCTTGGATTTGGGGAGCAGTTGGGTCTGTTCCCCCACTGGTCATGAGCTTTCCTGCACGTTTGTCAAATAAGTTAATTAATCATCCACCCACTAAGGCCACAGCAGAGCTCTGACCGTTGCTAACAGCCCCCACCTCACTCGCTGCTTCTCCTGGGTGCTTCCCAGCCGTGCTCATGCCACCGTGCTGCCGGGGGTCACAGCTGAAACGAGCCCTCTGCCCACCTGGCTGGCAGAACGCTGCAGGATGGCCCCAGAGCTTCTCCCCCACCCCAGCTCTGCAGCCCCTATTTAATTAGGAAGCCTCCTTCCCCCAAAAGGCGTGCTCCATCACCAGCTCACCCAGCATCCCTGCCAGCAGGACTCCTGAGAGCTCAAGGCCTTGATTAGCTCTTCCTTTTAATTAGTCTTCATTCAGAGGTGTTGCCTCCTTCAACCTTGGGCTGTCTTTGCTTTCTTTCTGCCCTGTTCTGCAGACCCCGGCAGTCCCCGCTCTGTCCCCAGGGCACGCTGCGAGCCCAGCGCTGCCAGACCCGGGCATCCCCTGCCGGGGGCCCTCACCCTCCAGCCACCACATCCACAGACACTGGTACCAGTGCATCACCCCCAGAGCTCCACCCCAAGCCATCAGGGAGACGTTTGGAGCGCAGCGAGATGCCAGGTTCAAGCACCCAAGCTGTGGCACCACCAGCTTCATCCAACACCTCAGGCCATCCACTGCAACCAGGAGTAAGCGGAGGGAGAAGGAAAAGCCGCGGGTTCTCCATGCCCTGGAGCCTACCTGCAGCGTGCAGCGAGGCGCAGGAACAAAGCGTGGGAACCCAGCGCGCTGCCACCTGCCCTTGATGCCCCCATGTCCCGGAGCGGGGGGCAGCCAGTGGGGCTGATGCCCCCAGGAGCTGCCCTGGCCCTGCCCCGGTTCTGGGGGGCTCACAGAGGGGCGCTGTGCTCGCAGGCCCTGCACTGAGTGCACAGCCAGGCTCACCATAGGATGGTTCTGTATTAAAATTCAGGGCAACGATGCAAAGTAAATCTCAGTTGATCCCATTTCAATATAAAACCCAATCTAATTTAAACGACCCCCATCAGCTTGCTAGGCAAGAACACAAGAAGCAATTTGGCAACCATTTAAGTGCTGTGCTTCCTGCTTGGCATTTACTTGTAAGCTGCTGGGAGCTAAAAAAAGTTCAGCAACAAACACTGCAGCCTGGGAAGGTAGCAGGTTGCACGCAGGAATTACCATTTCTCCCCTTCCACAAATACCAGTATTTGGTCTAAGATGATGAGCAGGATTAGTCGCATGCCTAATCCCCGTTACAGTGATGGGTACGTGTTGCTTCTGCTACTGAAGAGAACCTAGAGGACACTGAACCACTGCCGTGCCCCGCCGACAGTCAGGTACCTGCGGGGTGACGGCACAGGGGGCTGTGAGGCACCTCAAATCCCTGACTAGCCAGATGCCTCTCACCCAGAGCAAATTTCAAGATTTGAGGACTCGGACCCTTCTCTGTAATTATTTTCTGTCAGGGTTTGCCTTTGCAACTTGCCTGGTGCTGAGAACTGACAGCATTTTCTTCGCAGTTTCTTGCAGCTTCCCAGCATTTTGGTTATTCAAACTGCGTTACAAGATCCATCAAGTTTATATTCTCATTCTCATTGCTAATTGTGCTAGTTTGGGATTTTGCACGAGCATTGCTTTTTCAGTGATCCTATCATTTGTAGACTCAAATTACCTACTCCAGTCTTTGCTGTGGGACAGACGGGATATGCCCAAGGTGTTTGTCTAACCACTCCATCACTTCTAAGGAAAGACCCCGAACACCTCTAACAGCATCTCGGCTCATACACACCAGGATGCTCTAACAGCATTCTAGCCTATTCAGAAAAAAAAATGAAGAAAGAAGGTGAGATGAATCCAACAATTCTCTGAAGACACTGGCGTAAGGAATTGTGACCATTTTAGAGGAGCAGAGCACAGTTACCGTTAGTAGGTGGCAAGGCAGTGTTGCTTCAGTATGTTAAATTCACTGACTCAACACCTGCTTCTTATGTCTGAAGAAGACAGTCAAAACTTATTTTTCTCTGTAAATATGTTTTCCTTCTCTGTGATTAAAACCATCTTAACTGTATTTCACCACGTGAAATCAAATGCACTCCAGGTGTATTTACTCTCACACCTAGAGACCCGTTTGGATACACTCCTTTACACTACCGTAGGCAATGCATAAAAGCTTCAGAAATTCAGTCCAAAGACTTCTAAACACGACTGTAGTAAAAATTACCCATTCAAGCCTGAGCACAAGTACATTTTAGGTGCCTTCAGCTCAAAAATCTTAGGAAAAAAAGTAATCATAAATGCCATGTGTGGTCAATTAAATTCATAGGAGCCTGAAAAATCAGTAACAGTTACAGAGCTCTGAAAAAAAAAATACGGAGAATTTAGCAGAGTATTAAGACAGGCCTTTACTACAGCTTCCTCAGCATGTTATATAAAAATACAGCATTTTGCCTGTTTTTAAGGAGCTATTCCACAAAGAAACTTCTATATAAGCTTGCCAATTATTCTGACCATTAATAAGAAAGCACATTGACACATTCCAACTCAGGTAAGAATCCCATTTCACTTAGAGCTTAATTTTCTGTATTTCATTAGGCCAAAGCATGCTCACAGACAGTGAACAGTGCTAAATACGTTTTCTGTTTCCAGTGGCCTCATCATCACAAGCACAGACTATCTAAAAATGGTCAGTCTGGAGCTGCCTGAAATTCCCATACATCTGGCGTTTACTTTGGTCAGACACATTTGATGGACCACGCGCAGGAAATGCAAGATGAACACACCTAACATCTATTAGCCACTTCTTTTCTCCTGGAAAGAAAGCCTGTGCAGAAAACATCTGAAATTTACCACGAATGCCTTGGCATGGAAAAGTACAAAGTGCTGGAAGTGAATTCAGTACTCGTTCTGCTATTCTTTTAGCCATCAGAAGAAGGGAAAGATGCTCTACCTCTAACCTGGTATTTAAAACGTGAGTCAACCGACTGAAAAGCAAAATGAAGAATTACTTTATTAATCTCTGTACTGCTAAATATCCCAGTGACAGTTCCTACAAACAATGCTGATTTTTGAACAAAATAATTTCTGCAAGCAGGAAGCCCTGAAATGCTGCTTTAGTATCTAGTACTTCTAACTCATTTGGGGCAAATCCCACAGAGAAACGGTGGAGAGGGGAACTACCAAGTCCAGTTGTTACCGGGGTGTTATGCCCTTCGTGCACCATGAGATGTATTTATTACCATGCTGGCTTCCTGACAGTTTAGCAACACCCACCACTGCCACCTGTGAGAAGAAAGAAGAAACGACTTCCTTCTTGAAACTACCAAGCTAATTAAATTTATATTTTTGAGATTTTCTGCCATTGTTCAAACCAGTCTAAAGCAGAAATCTGCCTTTCTAATATTTTTTCTTCTTTTGCCAAAGTCATTTTTGGTTGTGAGAGGAAATACGGATTACAGGACATGTTAAAATATATGTGTAAATGTTTGCCAACAAATGGCAACAGCTTTCTAAACAAACTGGAGGAGTGTTGAGATACGACAACTTCCCATATAACATTGTTCTGAAACCGTCAGTACCAGATGTTAACAGTGGCTGTATTTCTGGGGCCAGATACTTTTTGAAATATAAACACAAATCCACCGGGCACATGGAAAAGGGCACCTCTTGGGAAATACCTCCCCACATTGTATCAGTTCAGAAGATTTCAAATTCAACCAGTCTTTTCAAAATTACCCCCCCCCCCCGACACATTATATTTCATACATTGGTTATCAGCAAGCTACCAGTACATTTTTTTCTGACACTCCTTTCTCTGCTTACGTTCAGCTATCACCGGAGATCTCATCACATGGAATAAAGTTTACTGAAAACTTTTTATTGTAATCAAAAAGTGACATAACAGGGCTGTAATGTATTCTGCAAATCATTCTGCAGATATTTCGTAACTGATACCAGCTTCTTCCGCCAGGCAATTAAAAAAAAATTCAAATGTGAAAATTTTCACAGTACAGTAAACTCCACCCAAACTAATTAATGGTGGTTAAAAATAAGATGCCCCAGCAAAACCTTTCATGTTACATGGTCACAACTCACAATTCTGTACAAAATGTTCACTTTTATAAAGCTCTGATGTAAAAATCAAATAATCAAGCAGCAATATTTTAAGTGCAGCACAGGGTCTTTCATGTCATTATTTACAACGCTTGAATTCGTTTACATTTTAACAAAATTTAATACAGATGACTTAGGAATTAAGTCAATTTTTTCTTATCTGTCATTCTATATAGTGACAGATTTAACTTTTTGGTCATCTTTCTCTTTATCTTTGCTCTTCTTTGATTTTTTCTTCTTGTGTTTGTGTTTTTGGCTTTTCTCCAATTCTGATTCATTTCCAGTGTGTTTCTTATGCTTCTTATGTTTTTTGTGTTTCTTGTGCTTCTTCTTCTCCTTCTTCTTTTTCTTTTTCTTGCTGTCTTGACTCTCTCCTGAGCTGGCACTGCTGCTGTGGCTTCGAGTTTGACTCTCGGAAGGGCTTTGACTACGACTGCGGCTAACACTGGGGCTGCTCTGACTTTGACTTCTGCCTGCTTCAGGCTGGTCAGCTGTGGCAGGTGCTGCTGTATCCTCTTTAACTTTATCAACAGCTTTTTCTTTTGGTTCTTTAGAATTTTTTCCTGCAGTTTCCTCATCTTTTGCAGATACATTACTTTCACTGTCACTTTCATTGTAGTCTGGCACAAATGCAGCCTCATCAGTTTCTCGAGTTGGATCAGAAGACAGCCGTGAGGGGTTGCTTACCTGAGGCTTAGGCTTGACACCAGTTTTATCATTTTGTCCAGTCATGTTTTCTTTCTCATTTTTTGCATCTGGTGATTCTTGTATCAAAGGTGGCTTATTGCAACCCAACTCTTTATTGCTCGTTATTTCAGACACGTGCTTGTCCTCCTTTTCTTTCTCCTCCTTCTCCTTTTCTTTCTCTTTCTCCTTTTCCTTCTCCTTTTCTTTCTCTTTCTCCTTTTCCTTCTCCTTTTCTTTCTCTTTTTCCTTCTCCTTTTCTTTCTCCTTTTCCTTCTCCTTCTCCCTTTCTTTCTCCTTCTCCCTCTCCCTTTCTTTCTCCTTCTCCCTCTCCCTCTCCTTTTCCTTTTCCTTCTCCTTCTCCCTCTCCTTTTCCTTCTCCTTCTCCCTCTCCTTTTCCTTCTCCCTCTCCTTTTCCTTGTCCTTCTCCCTCTCCCTCTCCTTTTCCTTGTCCTTCTCCCTCTCCCTCTCCTTTTCCTTGTCCTTCTCCCTCTCCTTTTCCTTTTCTTTCTCCTTGTCCTTTTCCTTTTCTTTCTCCTTGTCCTTCTCCTTCTCCTTTTCTTTCTCCTTCTCCTTCTCCTTTTCCTTTTCTTTCTCCTTCTCTTTCTCCTTCTCCTTTTCTTTCTCCTTCTCCTTTTCTTTCTCCTTCCCTGAATTTTTATCTAGAGGTTTGTGCTCCTCTAATGAACGCTTGGAATCATGAGTAGTTTTGTGATCTGACTGCTTTCGGTCACGTGGAGGACTGTAGCTGCTCCTTTTGGAATCTCCAGTGCCCTTTTTGGAGGACTCTGCTCGTTCATCTCTTGGTTTACTTTTTTGTCCTGATGTAGATTCTCTGTTTCGAGAAGGGGAGTCTTTTCTCCTTGCTAATTCACTTTTTTCATCTCTACGCTTGGAACTAGAATGCTCTCTGTTGCTATCATGGTCAGATTTTTTGTCTCGGTTAGGAGTAAAGTCTTTAGCAGTGGATCCACGGCCAGAATCATGTTTGTCTGAAGATCTGCTGTCTTTGGAAGATTGAGAAATATTTTTTCCATTTCCTTGTTCAGTTGCACGTTCTGAGTGGTCTTTTTCTGGCTGAATACTGCTCTTTCTTTTCTCAGAAGCGTCTTTGTCTGACACAGAATGATCTCGCTCTTTGGTTTTCCCTTTTTCATTTGACATCAAACTTTTTGAACTTTTTGCATCATGCTGGGAGCTTTCATAACTCAACTCTTTTGCAGTTTTCTGTGTTTTCTCCAAAGGCTCAGTCTCTTTTTCGTTGTGTTTTACAGGATTTGGAGGCTTACTACTCACATTTTTTACAACACTAGCAGGTTTTCCTATGTTTGAAGGTGGCTGGGTAGATTTAATGTCTTCCTCTTCAGACTCAAAGTCATCCTTATCCCACTTTGACTGAGGAACCTGGATCATAATAATGACATCTTCAGCAGGGGCAGTTATATCATTATTATACTCCTCCATTGTCTTGATGACAGTTCGTTTTGTATCTGGCTTCTCTTCAGACTTTCTAACAGGGCTTCCTCCAGTAGAACTTGTACTAAGAAGAGAAAAAAACATACGTTAATAAGTGGGTAGAGATGCAAGCACAGCTGTCTTTTATAAAATGGCCTTTGTTTCACTCGTAAATCTTCGGTATTTTTTCAAAAGATATTCAACAAATTAACAGATGAAAAAGGATGAGTCCACTGGCTAAGATTATGAGCAATCAATTAATTTAGTATCTTCCTACTATGCATTTAATTAACAAAGACACGAGATTATCAGATTGGGGACTGTCTGATCTGGTAATTCCTTGATGTCCTATTTCTATCAATAGTAGATAAATTAGATATATATTCTTGTTTCAACAAGTAAGCAAGCAATTAAGGAGCAATTAGGGCCTCAAAGCTGCACAGTGTATTTGCAACCAAGATGCTATTTCTGTAAGTTATAATTTCATGTCACTCTAACAGAAGACGATCGCTACAGTACCTTGCAATTTTTAAAATACAAAACACTGCACTGTACAGACATATCTGTTATCCTTGCCTTTAGCATTAAGCTGAAGGCAAGACAGAAAGGACACCACGAAGAGTCAATGTGTAGCAGTATTCAAAAGGGTAAGGATTAAGAGGGGAAAAAAGACCCAGAAGTAAGGGTTAACCATATCACCCATGAATTAAGCTCATTAGCTTTTCGTTCACTACAGACTGCTTGTTTGCTCCCACCACATTTGATTTGGACCCATGTACAGTTTAACTGAAAAGCTCAAAGATGATTCACTCACTCAGTGAGCATGGGTTTTGTTTTTCCTTTCATTAGTTATCAGAAGGACTTTACATTTTAGAGGGGATAAGAGAAGAAATGATTAGGTACCTGGTATAATCTACAAGAGTTGAACCAGATCCATCAGCTGCTGTTACTTTTCTTCTCGCTTTTCCTTTCACTTTTTCTTGTTTAGCTTTGCTGCTGCTTGGCTCAGCTTTCTCAACGGGTTCTTTCACAGGTGGCACATTTTCTCCACTCACAATCTTTTTGCCAGTTTCTCGGTTAAGTTTAATCTTTTTTGCAGGAGTGGTAAGAAAAGCAGATTTATCCTTTTCTGGAGTTCTCTCTCCTTTTTCACCATCAGGTTCAGTTTTTCCCTTCGGTGATGTTTTTGATTCAGCACTTTCTGGTTTAGAGGCCTTTATCGAAGTTGCTTCATGTTCTTTATCAACCTTTTCATCTGCTTTTCTTTTTCTTTTTTCAGCTTTTGCATCAGAAGTTTTGCCTTTTTCAACAGCTTTTTTTGACTTGTCCTCTTTGCTGGAGGGTTTCTCTGACTTGATTTCTTTTGTATGGTCCTTCTTTGTCTTTTCTTCCTTGGCTGGTCTGGTTTCTGGGTGATCCTTTGTCGCTTTTGGATGAACTTTCCGTGGTGTACCAGTAGCCTTCTCATCCTTTTGAGAGGAAGAAGTTTTAACGCTGTCTGCTTTTGGCAACTCTTCCTTCACTTTTTTCACAGGAGGTTCAATTCGAGGCGATTTTTCACGATCGGTGTCCACCTTCTCTTGGGAAGATTTAGCTGGTTTTATTGCATTGTCTTTTTTAGGAGGAGCAGCCACTTCTGCTTTCCGTTTTGCCTTGTCAACTTTTGCTTTTGGCTTATCCTTCTCTTTTTTCTCCTTTTCAGACACTGGTTTGAAAGCAATAGAATCTGCTTCCATAGGTTCATCTCTCACAGGTGTGGCATCATCTCTACTTGGAAGCATGAACAGAGAATCTGTTTTAACATCTTCCGCTGTACCTGGTTCTCTTGGTTTTCTTGCACTGTCTAACAACTCAGAAGTGGGAAATCCTTCATTCTCATCCCCTTTTCTCCTCTTCCGGTGTTTTTTATGTTTATTTCCTTTGCCATCTCCCAGTGGATTTTCAACCTCCTTCTCTTTTGATTTTGTAGGATCTTTTATACCATGGCCCTCTCTTCCTGAAAGTTTTTCAGGGTAATTTCCAGCTATATTACGATTTCTATGGCTCTGCCCACCAGCATAATCCTCCCTACGTCCCCGAGCATATGGTGAATTCTCTCGTCTGGTTCCAGGTGGACCAAACCTATCTGGAGAAAAGTTCTCTCTGTTTACTGGAGGTCGAGGTTGAGCACCAACAGCATAGCCCTTGTAGAACTTTTCATACCATTCTCTATAGTTCCTTTCCCATTCTCTGTATCTTTCCTTTTCAAAAGGATCTCTGAAGTCAACAGATCTGCCATAGTAAGCTTTTATATCATACGGTGGAACTTCTCTGTATCTGTTAAAATACTCCCTTTCTCCTTCCCCTTGCGGTATAGTCCGTTTAGTGGGAGACTGGCCTCGAAATACTGGAGACCTAGACCGAGAATGGTATCTTCTGTATGGGGGTGACCTTGACCTTGAACGGTGATAACCATGTGACCTTGACCTAGACCGATAGTTACGACTCTTCCCTTTGCCTCTTCTTGGATACGGAGGAGATCGCGAGTAGGAACGAGAATGGGAACGACTAAACGATCGAGAGTAGGAGCGGGAGCGGGAAGAACCTGATCTTGACTTGGAGTAGGTATATGAACTTCTAGAGTAAGATGAAGCACTATAGGGAGACTTGGACCTTAAAAAAAACACAACACAAAAAACAAAGAAGAAGTTAATTCAAAACAGTCGCTCTCCCCATTTTTTTCTCTCAATTCTTTTTTTTCCTCTCCACATGCTTATGTCAAAGCTTCTTTCAGCTGCTGACATAATGCTACTGCAAACTGAAGAACTTGAAAACATGTAAAAGTTTTTGCTTACAGACGGAACAGTTGCTGCTTTGTTAGTGTAAAAACATACAGGAAGAGTAAAGTCTATTTCCACTCACTTCTACTATATTGACTACCATAGCTATTGATTGATTTCAGGTGGTGTATACTGGCCTCTGCTGGTACACAAATGTACATTTTTTTCACTACTCAGCAACTACAATGCCATGCAAATCATTTCTGTTGCAGTAAGATGCAAAAAACGCAAGTCTTAATGGCTACAGTGCAGTACCAAGTATCAAGAAAATAGGAGTTTGTCTGAACAGTAAAGCTCAATTTTACAATGCCAGCTTAGACAATTTAACTTCACTGCTTATTTGGCAATCCGTACGGGATACATAATACTTTGTACTGCAACATTACATGCCGTAAGATTTAATAAACTTCTAGCCAGATGTCCTAGCAAAAGTTTGCACGTTTCTAGTTCTAGCCAAGGCAAATGACCTCATTTCAAGTAAAACAATACGTAAAAGCTTTTAAACGGCTTCTAGTAATATTATGAATCAATGCCATTACTCTTAATAAAGATATTGACGACATTACTAATAGACATTCAGACTATTAGTAATAAACATTACTAATAGTTATTCAGGCTGCTGCCCAAGTGATTTTTTGGGATAAAAAATGTAACCTATCCTGAGTATCTTCCTTGACAAGTTTTTCTTCCGTTAATTTTTGAATCACTATTTCACATTAATCTGCACATACTCATTAGAATCATTCTTCCTCTCAAAGTCCTTCAGCAATTTAAGAATTCGTTAGAAACACGTCTGATCTTTTAAGTCCTAAGGAAAATTTAACAATGTAAACAAGATACTAGCGCAAGCCACCAGTTTGCAGTCCAGGTTAAAATCTCTCCGTGTATCCATATGAGATAGACAAAAGAGGAAATGACGACAATTTCTCTCACGTATTTCCTTCAAAGTGCACTGAAGTAATGGTTACAATCAGAATAGGGAGACAGAGAACATCTAGCAACTAATTCACTTTTTGGCCTCCTCAGGGTTACCAGGAGGTGAAGGATGGTTATACAGATGCTTTAGTAAGAGACACCTGCTTCTTAATAACTGCTGCCAAATGATAACTATCAGTCAACTGCAAGCTCTGCTGTATCTGAGCTACGTAGGAAACTCCTGTCACTGCTAATCCCTTGAATTATCCAATCCATCTAAAGATAGTGAGGTGGAGTGGAACTCCTCCTGATTCTTCTAGACAATCTGCTTCTCCATTACGGACATGTAAAGCAGTTACCTGGAAAACGAACGCCTACGCTCCTTTTGAATCTTTTTATATTCCATCAATTCCTTAGCAAAATCATTTGTAAACTCATCAAGTTTGGACTTTTTCTTTTCCCTGTTAAAATAAGTTTGACCTTTATTACAATTATAGTTTGACCTTTATTACAAAAAGACATCAAGAAACAAAACATGGCCAATATGAGAAAATGTATACTGCATGCAAATGCAAAAGGTGAACATCCTATTTATGCAAAAACAGTTTAGAATTCCTACGAGTTTTAGGGAAAGTTTTAGAGTTACATTTGTCTTTAGTTTTGCATGTTTACCATCCACAATGAAAATGTATATTGGAAAAAAATGTTCTATATGTAACTTTTGCTTATGTCAGACGCGCTTTAGTGTAACTGCAGCCCGATATGCTATTGAAATACAAAAATGAAAAACAACACAACTTCATTGAGCCAAATACTTACTCCTCTTTAAGTCTCCGTTGTTCTCTGTAAAACTCCTCCCTAGATAAAGGAGGTGCTTGTGTCGTTGGGATGGCATTTGAATGAGCCGTTGGTACTGCTGTTGGTACCCAAGCTGATGACATGTTTGCAGGAGCTGGGGGATATCCTGGAGGGGGGACAGGGTACCCAGCTGATGGAGGCTGACCAGGTGGAAACTGAGGAGGAAACTGTGGTGGTGGTACCCCCGGTGGAAGAGGAAGTGCATGGGGAGGTGGAGGATACAAGGGAGGTGGAGGCACAGGCACAAAGACTGGTGCTGATGCTGGCAGTGTTGGGGCCTGAGTCCTTTGTGTACGTTCACTATGCGGGCGTCCTCGATTTGTACTTCTAAAGAAACCCAAAAACATGTGTCACTGTTTGTTACACTCTGCCCTGATTTTAAAGAGGAAAGTGAATGGAAGCAAGAAAACAGTGGGGAGTACTTCCTGTTCTGAACTTATGTGTTTTTCTCCCTGCTTTCTGTTCATTTGAGTCTACACACATTTCTTGATCCTCATGCTTGCTTTCCACATTCTTACCCCCAATAGCTCCCACAGTCTTCTCTGCTTATACTCAGCTTTTCAACTGTGGATGGAGGCTGCCTATGCTTAAAGAAGACTCCTATTTCACAAGTGCCAAGTGCCCACCGCTCCTCTGCCACTCCTCGATATACTTTAATACTTCAAACTTCTGATCTTCAAAGTACTGCACAAATATTAACTAATCTTCTCTTGAACTTCTTTTTAACATCTTCCACATAGGCTTCCTATGTTGTTGCCTCATGATGATGCATTTGGCCTGTTCTTGTTCCTGAATTGTTGTTATTTTCTTGCTTACTGAATTTGAGATTTTAAATATTCTGTAAGACGGAGCCTTGTTTTTGTTTTAAGATTTTATAAAGGTAACGCACACTTACAATCTGTCTGTAACAAATATATACCGGAATGAAGGACAAACTCGGCACTATGATTAATAAATAAAATGAACTCCTCTCTCTCCAAGTAAGAGAAAGCAGCTTGCCTGTTTGAGAGGTCTAAACTGAAGAAACTCCAGATTGTCATAAAATCAGAGCATTGACTTTTCCAACAATTTGCTCAGTCAGTACCAACTAAGTTGATAAAAAGTAATGTTGGATGCCGAATTCTATTGTGAAATCAATTTTGTCAGCCACATTCAGTCAGTAATCAAAAGGGTGGCTTTCCATCTGATCCTTTAATTATATTTAATTTGTTCATGTAGTTACAGTTTCCTGAAAAAGTATTAATTTTTCAGAGTCCTCTTCAATTATGCACTGGAGTTTTCTTTTAAATAGTCTTACTGGAAGCACAGATCCTCCTCTTGTTAGAGCTAATTCAAATAGAATCATTTAAAAATTAATTATCACTTATATTCTCTATAACTATCTGTACATACTTATTTCATTATTAATCAGCTGTTGTATAAGTAATGTGACACTGCCTAATTGAACAGGTTACAAGTGATAATGTATTAATTTCTGCAGAATATACTTACAGTTCCCAACCTGGCCTGCCGCCTGCTGAGCGAATTGCACCGGCTCTCATGGGATGACCTTTTGGATTGGATAGGAAAAGGAAAAAAATCCCATTCAGTTTATCAGAAGATTATTATTTAAAAAAAAAAAAAAAAAAAGAAATTCTAAAGCTGCAGATGTTTACCAGTTGTGGGTATTGATTGTCCTTGTGGACCCAGAAGACTTTGTAATGCTGGTTGTCTTAGTACAGGAACCTGATAGCCCTTGTGAATAAACACAAACTGTTAGAAATAGGCTCTAACAAAATATAAGAATCACTGTATTTGTTGAAATAAAATTTACCTTTTCTTCCAACAAACTGCTGATTGACAGAGGGGAAGATTTAGAAAGTTCAGCGGCAGTCATCAGAGCAGGAGGTATAACAGCATCTGCATCGCTACGGACAAAAAGCCAACAAACCAAATACACCCTTTTGAAATGCTACTTGAAATATAAAGTCAAAGGTAAGAAAAAGCTGACTACTGTAAATTGAAAAATGAACTAAAAAATAACCTTCGCCAGATTTACAAATAGAAAGTTGGTCAATTCCAAATGAAGTACTAAAGTCAATTTGGACTACTGGTATTTAAAGAGAAAGTTCAACGGCAAACTATTTTATTATGCTAATTGCAAAGGAAAGGCTTAGAGTATGTATAAGCCCCACACTGAAACATTTTGGAAGATGCAAGAACAAAAATTCTATTAGGAAATATGTTTATGTGCTAGTTCAGAGGCTGTCTTCAAGGTTCTTTTAAATTGTGATTCTTTGTTCTCAAGCCGTCCTCCTGTACAACCTGACAGTCTTCTCGACAGAGCAATTATTTACATTCAAGGCATAAAGTTGAAAGGATATAAACCCTAAATAGTAGTTAATATTTTCAATATATTTTCGTTGAACTTCTTTGGGTTGCAAGCTTAGACTTTTATGTTTGTAAATACTTCAAATTTACAACATTTTAAAGATCTATTACCCAAATCTACACGTGTCACTGACTACATTATCAGTAATACAGATAATGATTCTGACGTATCATAAAAATGATTACAAAACTACTTTAGAAAAAAAGTAATGTCAAAACACCCAGTTAGTTCTACCTGTAACTGAACTTGTATAGTTTTCATGAAAACACCATCTCCTCAGTAGTAAAGGAAAATTAATACACTCAACCAGAAGGTTTGACGTGATAACTAAATGAATAGTTCAGGAATTGATTGTCATTTAAATAAAGGGCTGCTAGGGAAAAAATGTTCCTCTTACAAGGTAAACCTGTACTGAATGACTGATAGGGAATCAAACAAGAAACAATTCTGAGAAAGTCCTTAAATAAAGTACACTTCCAACTTATCAAACTGTCTTTATTCACACTAAAAACAAAAAGCAGAACTTCCACAACTATTTGGAACTGTCATTAACGATCCATAAATCACTGAGAAGTTTGAGAGGAAGAATCTAACTTCAGCATTTTGATGTCTTTTACACTTGCGTTGATATACAGATTTACTTACTGAAAAGGTCCATCTGGCTTTTCAGCGCGGAGAGACAGGGACACTGCTGGAGGGAGATCAGAGACAATGACAGAAGACGGATTTACTGGCAGCCCAGCTGCCACAGGCTGACCAGGGGCCAAAGCAGCAGAATGAGAAGACAGAGAAGCTAATGGAATCATTAGTGGATCTTGCTGTCTGGAAATTGTTGGCCTCATTAGAGGCTGCAAGTTGCGTGTTATTGTTTGTCTCATTAGTGGTGGTGGAGGTGGTGGTGGTGGTGGTGGCTGCTGCTGTTGTTGCTGCTGAATCTTACGGAGTCTTTTTGTGTAGCCAGTTTCATTTTTGAAGTTGTTCACAGCCTATAGGTGGAAAAACATTTACAAAAGTCACATGAAAATTCAGCAAATGTATATAAAAAAAAAAGTTTCCAGGGAGTAAAATTACTTGTGTACTCTTGTAAATGTATTTTTATTTAAAATACTCAACTTCAGTGTTAACACTGAATCCAAAAGTGAGGCAATCACGTTAAATAACATATTGACCTGAATTTACCTGACTGCCCCTTTTTTTTTTTTACAAGTAGACTTTTCTTATGAATAACTTATATAAAAGTGATCATGTTACCTGGCGTAAGAACTTGTTGGCAATTAAAGCATCAGGAGACACATCTGTTTGATGACATGTTGGGCATGTATGTTCCTCAGATTCCAGTAATGCTGTTCTGATACCTGTGAATCATTACAATCAAAACATAATTTTTTAGGCAAACTAAGAAAATTTTGGGGGCTCTAGTCAATTATAAAACCATGTGCATGATTAATGAGTGAATATGGTCTTGAATTGAGAGCACAAAGCTGTAAATGTTCAATAGCATATGCAGCAAATAACTACACAGTTTTGATATTTCATTTCTTATAACATTGGAAGCTGCAGAGTAGACTGAGTCTTGCCATTTTGACTAGTCCTTTTTCCCACTACTAGTCAACCAACCATAAGGTTAACAAATAAAACATTTCTAAAAATAGTAAGTTTGGGTTCTAAAGGTTTTAACCAACTCTTCCTAGAAGGTTAAATATCTAACTACCCACTTATTGCAACCCACAGTAAGTTAGAGCTAGAGTCCACAGTAGTCAGAGTTGGATATATAATAGTAACACTTTATTTAACGAGAGAAAAGTCTGGAGACAAAGTAAATGCATTTGATATATAACATTGTAATCACCTGCACAATTTTGTACACTTCTCATACTCCTCTTTCTGCATGTGGAAAGGATTTAACTAGATACTTAAAAAGAGGAAAAAAGTTTTTTTTTTCCCCCCTTTTATACCAGAGAAGATCTTTCTTATTCAGGCTATTCTTAAGCATTAAATAGAGCTAATAACAAACTAATCTCGTTATCTCCTATTTTTGCTTTCAAGTTTGATGATCTGAATTAACAAACGTGGGAGTAATACTTACATTCATCACAGTAACTGTTTCCACAGCAGGGAATAACAACCGCATCTGTCATTATATCTTTACAAATCAGACACAACAACTCATCTGGAATAGGATCATCTTCTTCAGAGGAGGAGGATGGATCCTCTGGCAAGAAAGGAGGCTTCTCTTTCTTTCCTATAGCATAAGCTTCCCTTTAGGGAGGAGACAAGAGGGGGAGAGGAAAAATAAAATAATTTGAAGATGAAGAAATTTTGAAGAAATTGAAGAAATTTGAAGAATTTCAAGACAACTTTTTCAAGCTTTGGGCTTCATCAAATAATTTTATAATCAGCCTTTTAAAAATATAGGCGTTCAATTCAAAATACTTTTTCTACAGTCACAACACTAGAAGAGGGAGCGTCTATCTTTCTGTTCTGGAGAACTCTCCCATGCATTAGCTCAACTGAGATGAGAAATTAGCCTAGACTAGGAAAACAATTGGCAGCTGGAAATTCTGTGAAATGAACCCCTTCTGTGCCAGAGGGTAAAATCTAAATTGTAGGGTCAGGATAAATTTAATCTCTAAGAAATGACACTTTTCTAAATTAAAGTCATTGACCTTGCAGCTTCTCCAAAAGGACATTCAGAAAACAACAGAAAACAGAACTCTTCTCAAACTCTTCTAAAACCGGAACAGAAGCAACTGCTGTCCTCAGCACAGGCGGATGCCCTTAGTTTATATCAACAGGAAAACCGCTGTTTCACATGTCAGACCTGACAGTCAGAGGGGGAGGAAATATTCTGGTCCACCTGATAAATTCCATACTTACGCATCAATTGTTGGTATTGCGTATTTTCCAGTGTTTGTTAGCATAGCACCCTTTGTGTTAGGATCTTTCACTTCCATCATGAAACTTCTGGGAATTCCTGTGCTCTTTTTAATCCTGGGAACAGACTCAAAATTTTTGTCCTGTTAAGAAAAGAAATTCAGACATATTTCATCCTAAAAGTCACACTTAAAATGACATTTCAATGATTAAGCAGCAAAATCCTTAATCCTCTCCTTTTCTCTAACATGAGGACTGCATGGTTAAAATATTTGTTTTCATAAATGAATACTGCCAAGATGTTTCAAAGGTTTAGCATCATTTTGAACTCAACAGACATTCATGTGGCTTAATGTCTGGCTCCTTAGGGGTTAAACGTCCCCTAACTTACTATTCCATCAGGACAGAAACATTCATAATACAAGTCAGACCGCAAGTTTCTTCCAGTGTTTTGAATCAGTCACTGGAGAAACTTAAATTCACCATCTATGTATGAAGGTTCAATTCATACCTCATGCCTATCTTTAGTGACTAATGCTAACTGTCATGAATACTTAACCAGAGATAGTGTAATTAAAACATGTAAATCTTCAATAGATTGGGTCAAGAGAAATATCCTCTCCTCTTGCAATACAAAGTATTAACAAATGTTAATGGTCATTTAAAAGTTAAAGTTAAAAGAAAAAAATCCAATGTATCAATGTATGAGTGAAAGTACACAGAAAAAAAATCTACGGACATATTAAATGCCTATGACCTAGGAAAATTAGGCAGTCGTATAATTCCAGCTTTCCCTTTACATTTTAAGGGCTTTGTAACATTGTCTTACAATCTCTGGATTTCACCTTAGGAAAAATGATTCTTAATATGAATATTGATGTATTCATCAAGTAACTAAACTAAAAAACAATACAAACAAAACAAAACAAACAAAACCAAGTAACACCAGCAGTCCACTGTAATCTTACCCCATTTGTTGGGCAGTTCTTGATATAGTGGCCAGGTTTTCCACAACGAAAGCAAGTATATGATGGTGGAGGTGGACCCAAGGGTTTCTTCATGTAACTAAAAAAGTTTGGGAAAAACAAAAAATATAAAGGTACACATGTATCTCCCCTTAGAGCAAACAACTCTACAATTTTTTCACAATCTTCAAAGAACAGATTTGACTTCAGCAACACTTACTTGATTGGATCATATTCATGGCCAGACTGTGACATCATAGCTTTTATTTTATCTTCTTCGGAAGCATTGGCTTCAGCCAGATTGGCAGTCTGTTTAACAGGTAATTATTTGACACACACATTAGAAACACATTTAAGTCCACACAGCCAAAGACAACACCACTCATCCAATCCTGTAAAGAGCAGCACAACTCTAGCTGAGGTTGCATGAAACAGCTGCTTATATAAAATATATTTGTCCTGAAGATGTTCTGGGGAGTCCTTACGCCATTACATGATGTTTATGTGCCTGTTAACCTACTTGAAGAGAGCATTCTTGGGCACTCAAAACCTTAGGCTCTGTTTGTACCTTACATAAAGACTTGTGTAACCAATCCAATTTTCTTCAATACAAAGTGGACTGAAGCTGAGTGTAAGCACAAACAAAAACCCCAAAACAACAAAAAACCCCACCAATATCTAGTATTTTTCAATCAATTTTAAGCTCCAGACTATTTGATGGAGAAGATATCCATTGTACATTCAATTCAGAAACATGGATGCCAAGCACTAATATTTACATTTTGCAGCATTAAAAGGACACACAACTTATTGTTGCGAAGCTGTTTCTGCTTGCTGAAATTCAGCTTCTGGCAAATAAGCATTAAAAGGAATCAAGCTTTTTATAAACCCTCAGCAAGAAAAGACTTTTCAGTAGAAATTTGACCATAACGTAGTCCAAGCTGCATGTTCCTCCCAACACAATTCATTGTACCAAGTGCTTGAACTACAAGCAATACTGAAGGGCTGTTTTTCAATTTGATTGTGTCCTTTTAACACACAAATTGTAATAGAAACCTTATCTACAGCTGTATTTTCTAATCATTGAAGCTAGCTGATTTTTAAGCAGTATTTGTTAAAATGGTTTTTACACACTAGTCCAGATACAAGCAGGGTCTAAGGGAGTGACTGTCAATTATTTGAACCTTCAAGCACCTATCATTCAGATCAACCACTCGTGTTCTTGGTTTTATATGCATTCATTCACAAAAGCAACCAACTAGTTTCAACGCTTTATTAAATGGTTGTTTCATATACACAGTTTTTCTCAACATGAACATAATCCAGATCGACATCTATGAAACCGTTTCCATGAACATTTACAGAAAACTTTTACAAATACTTGACTAATTTGTTTGAACCCAAACGGTTTACAAAACACATCCAAAACCCACAAAACATTATTAGGAATAGACCAAAATTCAAATATGGCATTTAATACATAGTAGTAATAAAACAGAAAACTGTTAACACATTGCCTCCAGGCTAAGCCAGTCTGCACTGAAGAGGTTAGGGTACGTAACAGTTTTGAGCTGCTTCGTTATGTTCCTGTGTTTTTCTAAAATGTTTGGATTTTGTTGAAAACTTAAATGTGCACACCGCTTGGACAGTTTCTCAGTTTAGAATAAAACTTGACATGAGTTCACAGAACCAAGGACACGTTTAGGGACAGCACTAATGGAGACCAATTTCTTTAGGTGGCTACATTCCTTTTTTTTTGGCCAGATGTATACGATTTAATTTCTGCAGTGGGTAGGGGAAGAATTTACCAGTGGGAAGACTTCTCTTTCTTGGACATGAGCTCCAGCTTTTCTTTTCAAAAGAACAAACTCTAGCTACTCTGCATTAGACCCTGCCTCCTCTAATCTCTGGAATTTAAAGACTGGTAGTTTAATTGGCTAGAACTAAGCCTTTTCCAAAGTGCAGTCACTAGTGCTTTCCCAGACAAAGTTACACATTATTGAGCAAAAAATGCAAGCAGTTTCATAGCAAAACACGGCATTACAACAATTTCAGAAGGTCACGTGCTAATATGCCACACATACACATTGGTATATTCCTATAAACAATTAGGTACATTTACACAATTTACAGTCTGTGTTCAAACAAATTAGATCGTGTTGCCCACTATATATTCTACAGCTTATGAAACTGTGCAACATTCAAGAATGGATCTATATCTGTGAAGACTAGAAATTCAAAAATAACCATGCAATTGTCCATGTTACAGAAATGTTTGTATTTTGGCTGTTGCAAACCCCCCTGAAAAGTCCATAACTTACAGCCAATTAAATTCTTCTGTAAAAATTGTGTTAGTTTCCAACGAAAAATTAACGAAACGTATGAAAAACGGTAAACAGCTTCTGAAGTGCTTCTTCTTTGTGTCTTGAAGATGAATAATACTGCAACATTATGTTGAGGCTGATAAGGTACTCCCCTTCAATCTTCCCAAACTGGGAACTACTCTTTACAGGATAGTATCAAATTTTACACACATTTTAAAGTTAAGATAAATACTTTAACTTATTAAAAATTAAAGGTTGTTTTTTTTTTGTTTGTTTTTTTTTTTTCAAATTACAACAGTAAGCCAGCTATAGATCACAATGTAAGATTTAAAATAGGAAGCAAACACTTTTTTTTGGTAAATATTTGACAAGAATATATATATATACCTTAGTAAGCTGGGCCAGAGAAATAGATGCAGAAGAGTCATCAATCTGTTCACAAAAAATTAAACACATATTCAAGTTCTACAATCAAAACATAGCAACAGTTAACCTCTACTGTAGTCTGAAAGTCTGCACTATATCATCTGTGTCTCTCTGGAAGAGGCATTTTTAACCTAGTGTAATTTGTATTTGTTCAAAACAAAGTCCAGACCTACAAGAGTTTAAGAGTGTCTATATGGTTAACGAGAAGAAACTAGAACAACCAAACCAACTGAGATCAACCTATTGCTCAAGAGTATCTCTGAGGGAATTTTGCCAAATGCTCACAGCTGCATAAAAGTCAAAGGGGTAAGGAAACTCAATTTTCTGCTAAAAAGTTTTTTTTTTCAAAAAAAAAAAAAAATTTGAGAAAGAAGCATCACTACAGGAAACTTATTTTCAGTGTAATCTGTAAATTAATTGCTTAATGTTTAATCATTTTTAAATGCACATGGTTATGTTTTTGTGAACACAGTAGCTGCCTGTGAAAATAAAGCACAGGCATGTTAGCTCTGAACCATAAACTCTGCCCCTCACGTCATTTAAAAATGCCAAACTCACCACACCCCACAAAACCCTAATAAAAATACCAATCCAAAACAGCAGTCATAAAAACAACCCATCACTTTGCCTAGATAAAAAAAAACAAACCTGCTTAAATCATTGAAATTAAGGTGTTTACCATGATAAAGTAGTCTATAAAAATGAGAAAACTAATTTCTATCATTATTTATTATTAGACTACATACTATGAATTAGTTTGGATATGAATTAGTTTGGAAAGTGTGAGTATTCAGTATTCTCCCTGCTATCAGATCAAAAATAGTTTTCAAATAGCAGCCTAGTACTAAATGCACAAAAGCAAGAAAGCATCAAGCGTACTACTGGTAATGAAAGATGGATTCAGAACGTAATCCTGTCACTGCTTTTTTATTGCAACCACTCTCCTCGCCCTCAGCTACCTACAGGACCAGCTTGCAGGAAGGAGCTCTTAAGGCCACAGGTTAACAACAGACTGCAGCATTTATTGAGAACCAACACCGAAGTGTAGTTTGGCCACAACTGAAAACGATAACTCCTTTTCCTTTTCCAGTATTATGCATTATTGAATTATGCCACAGGCAGCAGTAAACTTACACCAGTTAACATTATCAGAAAGACATTCCAAATTCTGCTTATTACAAGTTGTTCAAAAAAAAAAGTAGAATAAAATTTCAGAATGTAAACTGAACAGCTCTCCTCAAGAGATCACAAAATTGATCAGAAAAGAGATTAGAAACCCTTCCCTGAAAAACAAAACAAAACACACCAAAAAAAAAAAAAAAACAACACCACCAAAAAAACAACACTCTTGTCCTCTACTAACATGGTGGAAGAACTCGAGGCAGTAGCTTTAGCAGACTGTAGGGGAAAAAATATCTACCTGCAGAAGATGTTTCCTTACTCCAGTAACGCACTGGTTTTAGTTAATCATTCCTTCTCTGTATGTTTGGGAAAGCACATGAACATTACTATATTACTATCTGAACATATTTTTAAGTTGTGCCTTTGAAAAGACCTAGATCTGGAGTAAAAGAGCTTTTTTCCACTGCAACTCTTACTAGAAGATTCAACTTCCATTCTTTTCAGAAGATTTTGTACTTAGCTATGTTTAAAAGGATGTCTGATTAAGTATCGTGTAGCTGTACACTCCGTATGTCACTCCTTTACGTGTGGAAAAAAGAGGTCTCTCAAGGGAGGCACAACTGCTACCATTTTGTGTGTTTTCAGAGGCAGCTAAAATATTGGGGAAGTTATTGATTGGAGCCTAGCAGTCTAATGAGATATTAAACAGTCGAGTATTGACCAGTTACCGAAACAAAGCAATTAATAAAATGTTAATTAGTGTTTATATTTTATTAGGAAACAGTATTGTTTGGCCTGCAGGCAACAGTCTAATTTCTTAAAGGAGATGATGGCACTCATTTCTACCAAACTGGTACCAAAAGCAGCAAATAAACAATGCACTATTGAGTAAGTCTGCCCAATGGCCATCTTCCAATGATCCTGCATTCTTTTCATTTTTATTTCATTTTTTTTTAAATCTTTATGTTTCCATTGAAGTAGTCCTGCCAGTCCCTCAAATTAGTGAAGTAGAAACAAAATCTCCAGGAATCTAGCACACAGCCCTAAGATAATCCTGCAGAAGAATCAGAGAAAGAAAACAGATCTGAGAGCCGAATGTAGGAACTCTCATTTCATACAGAAGATTCAACAGAAGCTAAAAAACAGCAAGCAGAAACTGGGACAGAAAATAGGGAAAAGGCTAGTTTGGTATATCCAAATCATAGTGGTTTCCTAAAACCTGAGATCTTAGCTAAACAGAAAATCCTGCCAGGAAGGATCGCAGTTGCATTCAGTGGCGCTGAAACAAGGGACACAACTGTGCGTTTATGCAGACTCTAAGGATAAACAGAGATGCTTGCAGTTGTTGAAATACTAATGCTAAAACAAAAAGGATCCACTTCCTTGATTGTCTGTAATAACAATAGGACACCACCACAAATTTGGAAGCATAAAATAACAGCTAACATAAAAAAGACAATGAAAAAATGTTTGAGCCATAAGCTTTTGTGCATCCTTTTTGTTTTTCTTACTCACTTTAACTTTGCTGCTTAGGCATTACTGTTTAACAGTAGTTGCTGAGCTTTCCAGTAATTTATCCCTACCACACTAAGATGCTGTCTCTACTTTGAAATACATACAGAAATACAGATATTTAAAAACAAACAAAAACTTTAGACCAAGATCTGAGCTGGCTTTAAAAGTAAATCTCACTGTGCTTCCAACACTAGGGGTGCCTGACTCTGCAGTGTTTTTAAAGTAATCTTTAATTTTCGTATCTAAGTACCCATCCACCTCCATACAAATGTAAGACTTGTAAAGGAAGAGTTCCAAGGAGGCTTCCACCCTCCCTATGCCTACCCACAGCCCAACTCAGGTAGTCAGAGCAAACGAGAGGGGAATATTTTTGCTCTCTCTTCCACTTTAGAACTTTAATCTGTTCTAACTAACACTAAGTCTTCCCCCCACCACTGCAGATACTTTTTTTTTTTTCCCATTTTTTTTCTCTCTTTTTTGTTTTTTGAGACGTCTATGTTAGCTTATGGTCAGATGCTACTTAAAAATGTAATACAGACATGCCAGGGAACACACAAGGCTAAAAGAATGTTAACTTTATTTATGAACATGTGATTTGTGTTTATACACATGCTAGTAAACAAAAAGGAAAATAACTGTTTTCAAGAAATAAAAACCCATCTGAATTAGATCAAATACTATAAACGTGCTTTACACAAATGCATTACATTAACTACTAGGGTCACTGGGCCAGTTAAACTAACTTGAACTCACAATGGGAGGCATTCATGTCGAAAAAGGAATTCGAACCAATCAGCGGTAGAATTACGGATGTCAGATTCAGATTTAAGTCTTTTCAGACCTACATTTAAAAAAGGTTTTCATCTGAGGTTGATTGCACACCACTCCATGGGAACCAGAGGCTGCATTCTTCACAGAATGCAGACACAGAGTTCATGAATTTCTAGATTAAGTTATCCTAACAGCTTAATGAGTGATCAGATCCAATGATCCAGGGTTAGTGTAATGCCTCACACCATTCTAGTGAAGAAAAAGCAGTTATACTTAAAATAAAGATGAAAAATAAAAAACACCAAGTAGTAATTTTTATACTGTAAGAACTATTTTGAAATCCGTAGTTATACACAATATTTGACCCAAGTGGCAAATCAGTATCTAAGACCGTTACCAATCAAGTATTTCCTCATGTACTTATCTATATTTTAGCAGCAGAGTAACAGTGTGTTTTCAAGCCTGAATTAAAATGCTGCCCCCTTTTCCAAAGGGAAATTCAAAATGGTGGTATACTAAAGAGAGGCTTAACCTTTGGGAAGTTAAAGCAGCATCCAACCCTGAAGCCACCCAGATCCAAAAGTACAGTGCAGACGAAAGTTAAGAAAGATGACATGGACTTTACCCACAAATGCACCAGGCTCTAACCTTGTGCCAAAAATTTTATACCAGGTTTTAGATATTTTCGCTTGCAAACTATTAAACTAAACTGTTTTGTTAGGTAAAGCAAAAAGACCAAACACAGAACTTTAGAATACCACTTTGTGTAGCAATGATATTCAAATTCATGTCTTCACATCTTTTCAAGACATTTATGTACTCTGAGGGGCCCAAACAATATCACTTCAATTTCAGTTTTAGGAATAAATACTTGAGTGCTTAAGGACACAAAAAGGAGTTATTTAGCTGCACAGAAATGTCCTCAGAAATTGTATGGAATATGCTTGTTTTAGTAGTTGTTTGAACCCCCAAGTCAGAAATAAGAAACAATATCGAGTTTAACAATAATGGTTTCTCAGTGGTTTTTGATAACATTTTCAAAAACCATTAGGCAAAAAAGTATTTAAAAACGAAAGCTAAGTGATACAATGTGAAAATGGCAAAAAATACACTCCAAACATTTTTATTGCAAGAAACAAAAAGCACACAACAACCTATACAAACATACATATTACTAGCTATAGACAGACAGATGTAGAACATGGCACCATGTTCAATTGTGCAAACCTCAAACCTACATGATCTAAAAATGATCATACAGTATCTGTACAACACAAAGTCATACAGGAAATATTCTAGCATATTCAATATGAAATACAATGCATTACTAGGCACAAATACCAATATTCACATTAGAACTGTGCAAATGATGGCATTACTCAGTTTTTACTATGCTGAATCAAATACATTGTATTTACAACATATACTATGTTTTGCTGGAAAATATATTAAGTTAATACTTGGAAAATTAATGCAAGGCTACATTGTTTATAATTAAGTGCAGTGTGTAGAAAAAAGTGTGAGATTGTGTTTTTACATACTGCTTTTGATGTTCCACTCACTGGTTCAGTTCGACTTCTAAAAGAAGAAATAAAGGTGATCAGAATTTAACAGAAAGCACTTGTATCCAACATATAGCAGTGAAAACAGGTTATAAAACCCGAGCATCATAACATTATGTTCTGGTAGTCTAGAGAATGTAGAAATTTATTCACATACATAAACTGTTCTCCCTTGGTACATTCAGTGCAACTAAAAAAATCTCATTTCTACTTTGTTAAATATTATTTTAAGATTTACAAATACAGAACACAACAGTGCAAGCACAAGTCCTCAGGTATTTTGTCCCTGCTGTATCAGGAGCAAAAATATGAAGTCTCTACTACAGTTTTGTGTTCTTAATCAATGTTCTAAGCATGAAGCTAGCTTTAGCCAATCTGTATATCCTTAGCATTACAATTAGGTACCAGACACAATACTTTAATTTCTAAGAAAGAACAGTGATAGTCTAGACACTCTGAAGTACAAGTTTCAAGTGGGAAACCAAAACAAAAAACCAGTCATCTGATAAAGGAAGGAATAAAATAAAAATGACAGCAGCATAGTCTTTAGAGCTGTGTTTCTTTGTGGAAGCCCAAGCACTGTGTTCAGATATCTACTATATTTAGCCATGAAAGTGCCAAAATATTAAACGTGTTACATATGCTACATTGACTAAAAATAGTAGTAGAAATGTCACCTGAAAGCAGTTTCTAGGATTTTGTGCGATTTAGGAGTCCTGTGACAGAAAAAAAGGTCTTAATTGCCATAATTTGCTTTAAAATAATCTTGAAAATGCTACAGTATTTTAGGAACTATTTCTTTAGTACATTTGAAAACTTGCCGAGATTCCACATACTGATTGATCTGTATCTGCATGCTACTCATGAATCAGGCATGCAACCACTGATATAGTTAACAAACAATTCATACATCATCCCAAGTGTCCCATGAGCAGAGGCAATTAAAGGCTGCTGCGGAATTTATGTACAAACTGCAAGGCTTGTGTTTCCTGCCACTGCTAGAAAACCACTAGGCTCACAGTTAGAGCCGCGTACTCCCTGAAGATGAGGAAGTATAAGGAAATGCTTTAGATTACCACACAATGGTTTCTTCATATTTTTACCTTGAGGAACATACTACAAGAGGAGTTAACGTATTTTGGAGGCCTCTCCACCGTTGCAGCATACACTCAGAATTCCTAAATGTTAACTACTCCACCACTTGTTTCTGTAATATTTCCAGCTAGGGACAGAAAGCTCATCTGCCTGCTTAATTTCCAATGTTAAAACGGCAGCGCAATTCTTTATCCCCACATACAGGTATTTAATTAATCTTTGATGCTGGCAGCATCTATCCTCTAATTTTACAACCGCATTACAATACCAGGAGAGGGTGCCATCCAACCAGAGACGGAGGATGCACTGACAAGACAGCACTAAGCATACGTATGTAAATTAAGCCCTAAGACAAGGCAATGCTTATAAGCACAAAAATGTGGGGTCTAGAATTGCTAGGTAGAGCCTGAAAGCACTACAACTACTTACAGCAGCAATGTGCTTAAGCTCATGTGCAGAGCCACACAAATTCAACTTTTTTGCATGCAAATGCTTCATGGGTACCAGGGTGCTGCTGTACTGTTTGTTAGAGACACACTGTAACTCATCAGTACACCTTACTTATCGAGAACCAACACGAAAAAGGCATAGCAAAACCACAAACCAATAACGTTCACCAGTTGTGGTGGACGGGCATATCTTTAAGGAGGTTGGAAAAGAAAGCCATTCAAACAACACTAATGTGGCTGCTGCAGAACTGGATTGTATGAATAAATGAACGATAGCACTAATCCTGTAGTCAGGAAATGCATTTGAATGTCTAATTTTAATCAATACATGTGATTCTCTGTTCTTCATGAATGCTAGGAATACAGATGAAAACCTGGAGCACAGATACCAGCTTAGGGTGAAACAGAAAGATAACTAGGAATGGTAGCGTGCTGAACTGCTTACTGAGTTTCAAGTAAGGAAAGCTTTAGCTATGCCTTCACAGTACAGAAACAAAAGGCAATAAACTTAAGGATATTATTCTTTTCTCCCTTGCCTTAAACAACCCTTGTCTTTAAGAAGCTAACAAAATCACTTATGTATGAGACTTTTTGTTTGCATGGCTCACCAAATGGCAACCCTTGCTCCTTCCTCTATTGCTAGTATGCAAAAATAGTGGGTTTGGGCCATAAGAATACTGCCACATCCCCAGACCAAAAATGCAAGAAATTCACACACTGAGAAGGAGACTCTACTGAAATGGGAACAAATTATAAATTCACAGCACCATGCATATTTGTGTCAACTGTAAAACAAAGAAGAGCAATATGTACACTAAGGGATCTCCTCTTGTAGAGGAAACAGGATCTAAACCCGTTCAGATCGCAGGTCTCAGAAAATGACCTCCCCCCTGAGAAGCCAATAGAACGGATGTGAAGAGTTACCGCTGCGGGAGTTTGAACCCAATGCCCTAGTAGGTCTAAAAATATTAGTCCATTTTGGGACAGATATATGAAAATCTACCCCATTGCAACAAAAACTAACAGCTTTTACAAGAAATATACAATCTGAATGCCTCTCACAAACTAAGATTAATCAAAAAAATAAGTTAAGAAAACGCTCACAAAGAACGCAGTGCTTTGTGGATACTTACATAACGTATGTTTTGCTGGTAGCTTTAACTCCTCCAATAGGGATTCTTCTAACAATTACTGATGAGTTCTTAGGGATCAGGGCATTATCGTCTGTGTATTCTAAAAAAAACAAACACACCACAAACACAGAAAAAGATTAGCAATAAGAATGCACATTAATATGTAATTAGACAGCACTTCTGAGCACCCTTGTACAGATATAAAAGTGGAATTTTACACGTGACACTGTACTTTGTCTTGAAGTAACAGTCCACTTCAAAAAATGTCTTTACATTTATAATCAAACATAAACAGCAAGATCATGGGCTTCGTGATTTATTTATTTATTTTTTTTAACTCGTCTGAATACCAACAGCAAAATTGTCTCAAAGGTCACTTAAGGGGAGTCCCTGCTAATGCACAAGGTTCCTTCCTGTCCTTGATTAAATTGCTTTTACTTCTAATAGGCTATAACACCAACAGAGTTTTAGAGAAAAAGAAACCACAGCACAGTCATAAACCAAATTCTTAAGCCCAATTAGCTTGCCCTGTAACGGCACAGGAACTTAACTAAAGCTTGAAAACTTTCAGCCATTGCTTTCAGAGTTGATAACTAAACCCAATTCACTTCTGCTGCTTAGTGGTTGAGACAGTACACAGGAGAAGAGAACCTGCCAACTCTGTCCATTTCTTGGAGCTTAATTAATCAACAGCCACCAGGCTTTTCAGCTACTCAGTGCTTTAAATTTAAGTGGAAACTAAACTGGCATTACTAGAAACTTTCTCGCACAATCTTTGTGGTTTTTTATTTTAGCTTGCTTTCACAGACCGGCCAGAATTGGCTCAAATGAAAGTAGCACAGCTCCTCTTAAGCTTATTACCTGGCTAGAATTAACTACAAAGGGGTGAAATCTTTCCAGGCACTTTCTGCAGAGCAAAATAACTCAAAATGACTTACAAAGGCGGATTTCAAAAAGCTTTTAGAAAACAGCGTGCCTGAAGCTATCCACGCTTTACCTTGGTTCACATCATGTTGCTCTTTTGAAAAGGAGAAAACCTTTTGACCTTTTACATAGGATGCCCCCCCAGCTCCCTGAGACACTGAGCAAGCTTGAAACACGCAGATCTCTCTATTAGAAAGGCTTTTCTATTGTACTTCCACAAGTCAGATATGCCGATTTTGAAGCACTATCAGCAGCCAGTCCCTATAACCGATCTACAGTTTTAAATACTAAAAGCCCTTACCTTTGCAGATTGAATCAGAACCATGGTGTGAAAACCAAAGACACCATGTATCTAGTCACACACCGTCAGGGTAGTTTTCCCAGTGATCAAACACAAAATAAGAATATTTGATAATTTATGCTCCATTTTTCAGAATGTTTTTCCTAGAGACAAGTCTCCTTTAAACTGAAACACACCTACCAGACAATCATTTCAACACTGAAATCAAAATGTGACTTCTGTTTCCAGATGACAAAATGCTTCTACACAAAACTGAGAAATCTTTTAGCTGAAACTAATTCCTGATCTTCCCCACGGGAACCAAACAGCAGACTTCCTCTGAACTTCACGGCAGTTTAGAATTGTGTGAGAAAACAGTTCCTAATGAAATCCATGCAAACAGGAGCTTTTACAGAAGTCATATATCCTGAAACAACCCCTGGAGCTCTTCTCAAAAGGAAAATGTAACCATTACAAAGTTAGCTGTCAAGAAAGGCCTGCAATAAGACTTTTTGGAGATGGTCAAGGAATACTGAAACCTAGATAAGCAACTGAGAGATCAGGTGAGCTGCAGCTCCCAAGCAGCTGTTTCTACCTGCTGTATGATGTCATGTCCAGCATTCTTGCTGGTCTAGAAAATAAGCCACTGGACAAAGACTTCAGAGCTCTAGGACAAGCAACAGCAGCTCCACAAGTACATAGGAGTTTGTTATGCCTGTACCGCACGCAGAACTTGGAAGTCCTGCAGAAGATTACAACTGGCACCTCTCCTACACTGTAAACATGAGAACAGCTGACTTGCCCAGCTGCATCTGCCTGGACATCAGCTGAAAGAAACAGAGGAAAGATACTGTTTTGTTTGTGCATGACACAACTGTAGACAAGGGATATTACAAGGAGCTGTTTTTGAAGTTTTTATCTACTATTCTCAGGCTCATAATTAAAAAACAGAATTGTTGCACTTTCATACCAGATTATGACAGCCGTAACTATTTCAAAAAGACATGTTTTTCCTTTGAGAACTTATGCTTTTATTAGAAAACTTGTGCATTTTTAAAAATGTCTGTTCTTCCTCAACAGTGAAAATACGCTTTGTTTCTGTTCCCACTATCAGTCTGCTGGGTCTGTAAACTATTGTCCCCTATAGCCAAGGGATTTATTCACAAATTAAACAAGCCTGCAGACAGGCCAATTCAAACAAGCGTATCTGTAGTGTCTATGGTATAGATGAAGAAGTCCTCTTTTAGCATTTTGTGAAAATCTATTGACCCTTAGAAGAGATGCATTAACATTTGCCTTCTGAGTAAGCTGTCCTCGTGTGCATACATAAATTTCCTTGCTTTCAGTCTGTATGTCGTGTGCATTGAAGAAAGCTCCATCCACACGGGAACAAAATGATGTAAGAATGAATTTCCTTTAAATGTTAATCTGTGCTTTTATTACATATTTAAACTGATCAACAGAAGAGCAATAATTCCTCGTGAAGGAAAGACTTTATTTGTATAGGACACTTATTGGTATTTAGCAATTAATACTGTCCAATTTGCTTGTGACAGAGAATTTGTGGAAGAGTGATTATATACAGGAGAGTGAATAGCCGAGTTACTTCTGTGAGAGGACCCTGTTCCAGGCTTTACTACATTTATTTGTCCTTTGCCTTAACTATTTGAATGCATTTTGGTGATGAAATTCTAATAAAAGTGAAATAAAACAATGCAAAGTAAAAACTTAATGTCTTTTAAAGTCGGATGAGGGCTAAAGCTGAAGAGGTATTCTTGAAGTCTCTGGAAACTTGTTTGCCTAATTTGAATTTAACAGACGCCAGCTTAGTCTAACAGCTCTAAGACTAAACTGGCATCTCCCAGCAGAAGCTTGCTCCCCATGGGCTTGGCAACCCCCAGGATCTGCAAAATAGTGTCACTCTGCAGTCCCTGCCCCTCCACGTGACGGGACATCTGCAAAAGGAGCGGTGAGATCACGCTCAACAAGGCCACTTTTCACAGTTGTCCAAGCAGAGCTCAAGCAGAAGTGTTCAACAAAGCAGGAGGTGACCGTTCTGTTGATGCCTATTCCCTGACGGCACAAAACTTGTTCTACTGATGGTGCCAGCCAGCAACTGGCTACGGGGCTTTCGTCAGCCTGACCTGTGATTAAAAATATGGATTCGATTAGTACAGAAAGCTTGCAAAAACAAAGGCAAAAATGGATGTTACATTAAGCAGAAGAGGTGCAACAGTGTAAAAATTGCTGTATCTCTTGTAAGAAGATAGTCTACTTGAAAGAGACAGGGAAAGAAACATTTCAAGGAATAGAGGCAAACAAGCTTAAATAAAGTAACTGATTTGCTGCCTCATACCTATGTATAAATCTCAATTCAAAACCTGCATGTCTGCAAACTTCCTGCAAAAATAGTATAAAATTATTAAAGCCATCAGACTTTCAGAATTTGCATCAAATGTATACTATGAACAAGCTACTCTAAAAAGTTCATTCTGGATTTTATGGCCTGTTTTGATCACCATGTTGAGCCTGACAGGACTGCAAAAAGCATCTTTTGAGCACTACGTAGAGAAGTATTTTCACCTGGATAAAGTACAGATGTTCTTCAAAAACATCATCAGAAAGCGACCCTGTAGGCAAAACCACCTTTGTTAGGCATCTCAGCTTTACTTAGTAATGAGACAATTTACCATTGGTGGAAGGATTTGAAGAGTGAAAGATGATGACCACCAGCAACATTCAAGATTGTCTCTACCAGAAAACAGTGCAACTCCCAAGAATGCCTTTTCTCCCTAGCACTTGAGATATGTTCCCTCATCTCATTTTTAACTCTGTTCTTATCAACGCTCATTTGCACACTTTACAGCAAGCAAAACGAGCTCTGCAGCTGGCACTGAAAGCCCTGCCTCAACACACCCTTACTAATGGGGTGGACTACTATTTCTAGGTGTTTAGCTTCCACCAAAATAGGTATCCCCAATCTCAGCTATCACTGGCACACCATCATTTCTTAAATCAGCTAGGTCAGTAGCCCAAATGGCTCACAGATCTTTCGCTTGGGTCATTATGGTCTTGAAAGGATGAGCTGACAAAATCTAACAAACTTTCAGCCGTCAATCTGACCACACTGAGTGTCTGAAGCCTTAATGTCATTGTGTCACTTCAGCCTGCGCCTGGTGGAAGTGGAAGCAATGCTGGAGACAAGGTGAAGATCGACCCAACTGAGCCTGCCTTAAGTGCTTGGCAAAGGGACAATATTCTAGCTGCCTCCACACTCCCAAGAAGGATGGATCCCAAACCTGCTGGTGGCAGAGTTCAATCAGCTGACTCCCAGACTGGCACTGCGTCTAAGCTCCACGGCAGTTTTTGAGTAGATACACAACCTACACTCAGCTTCACCAGGGAAACCAGGAACTCCACATCTTTTCTGAAGACTCTGCATAATAACACCGCGTGGCAGCCCAAGAATTAATTGCACTGAGGTGTAACCAAAGCAATCCCTGATATTAGCACTGCAATATAAACTTGTACAAGGTTTAAAGGAGGTAAGGACGAGGTTTAAAAGTTGCTTAAATGTCTTATCTGAAGTGCTAAGTTTGCATACCTGTTGACCTTTCAGCAGGCACACCAGCAGCGAGATCAAGTGATTTTGGAGTTAGCATGAGTTTTAAGACATCACATTGGGCATTACTAAAGCAGTCAAGTGCAGGCTGCAACAACGAACTCATGCAAGTCCCCAGTTCAAGAGAGTCTTTTAAAAACACTATTCTTCCCTAAAACTATTCATCTCACCACAAGCAGTTCAGAGTCATTCATTTTTAAAATGTATTCTGCCAGATAAGAATGCTTTCCTTATACCTTCTCCAAGTGTCTTTGAGTCAGAATGCTTTAGGGCAGAAAAAGACTATTCAAGAAACAGGAGTTCTAAAGCTTGCAGTTTTTCCACAAAAAATGCGGATGTTGTGAGAATATCTATTGTGAAAGATGGTGATCAAACTGAGATCAAACGAAGAGGAGTCACGTTTAAATACTCATTCTTGAGAACAGGCTTTTTTTTTTAAAATGGGTTCCCACCATCCTTTTTGCCTTCCCAGCCTCTGAAAGAGTTCATCAGGTCATATTTTTTCCATTGATATTTAAGTTCCTATTTACTTTCAGCTTACAATAGCATTCCCTCCATTACTAGAATTCCATTATAAGAAGTAACAGTTACCGCAGTTTGGAAGGTCAGAGATTCCCAAACACCTGAACCAGCAGACCATTTGTAGTTTCACTTTGTTCCTTCCAATATCATTTTAACATGTCAGAACTCCTACACAGACAGAAGTCATAAGAAACCAGTGCTTTACAGCCGTATGTAAGAATTCCAGACATGTCATTTAGGCAGAAGTCCTATTTAGTTTATTTTTTAACTTTATCTTTGAACAATGTGTTTAAATACCTCCATCCAAGTAGTAAGAAATGAAATTTCCAACTTCCTTTTTTTTTTTTTTAAAGTGGAAATCACCCTTACAAGAACTTCAGTAAGTATCTGTGCTGCTAATACACCAAGTTTAGAATTTGTTTAAAAAAAACAAAAACAAAACAACAAAACAGTCTAAGAGCAATGCATCTTAGGATCTCACTGCCTTTAAATGCGTGATGCTCTTTAAGAGATATGCTTTAACTCCATCTTTAGGCAATATTGCACTTAACATTGTAACCTACTGAGGCAGATACTTTTTCTTCCCCAGATTCTGGCAGGCATGAGAACAAGGCAACATACTTTGTAGAACTGATATTAAGGATATTAGCAACACTTTATTGAATAACACATTTATGAGCATAAATTAGTCGTATTTTTTTTTCCTTCTATAACTTTGTTTTCTGCTCCTCACTTGCTATTACAGAGGATTCTATTGAAAAAGAAGAAAGAAAACCTTTATTAATAGGCCTCCCCCCTGCCCCCCGGGGTAGTAATTGGGCTCCATCACAATGTTACCATCCAACACTCTGGTTTTAAGGCTGTTTCTAGCAGACCCAACCGATACAACTCCAGACAGCTGGCCAATCAGCCCCTAGTGTTTGTGAAACTTACTATACATTAGCAACTGCAGACAAAGTTTCCAGACCCTCCTGTAGCAAAGCCCTTAAAACAAATTAAACACTTTTCAAAAGGGTCTGACAATTTTATTCAACACTACTATAAAAAAATAAAATCAGGACTTCTGAAACTTATCCACCTACGTGTTATGCAATACAACAAAATTCATCAACAGCCCCTGAACACTGTGCTGTTAAGTCCCTTTACAGACATCCTCCTGAAAATAAATATTTTTAATATTTGTAAACAATCAGTGAGCTTTAAGTGCAATCATTTTAAAGGCTAGGGGTGAAGTTAGTACTGCAGTGTACCTACATATTACCTAACTTGAATTTTACTCTGTGAAACAGCAAAAGGAAAAAAACTAATACACATTTTTAAGAAAAGATTGCTATAAAAGTGTCACAGAAGCGCAAGACAAACAGAAAAAAAAAGTTTACCATTTGAGAAATGAAAACACTTCAGAATTCTTTTTATTTCTGAGAAGCAACATCCCAAAGTCTTTAATCGTATCCAAACTTATCAAGATGGCAGATCACCACTACAAGCTGAAGTATCATGCCAGGCAGTACAAAAGCTCTCTCATCACTGACGATTGAGCACCATATTAGAGCCATCACCCTTCACCAGTGTCCTAACACAGTCAGCACGTGGAACCAGGAAAAAAGGAGTTACAAGCGAATGATGACACCACGCTCAATAGCACTTGAATGAGTGTCTTTGGTGAAAAAACAGGTTACGTTAACAGGAAATTCCAAGGCATAGTTTACATACAGAGCACGCTTGTGGGTGAAATGGTTTTAAAGGTCTGCGAAGCTGATGGTCACAGACACCCTCTTAACAGAAGACATTGGGAGTGAGCCGTTCCCACAACAGCCACAACGCCAATTTTCCAGTACAGTGGAGTATATAGAAGTCACCAAACCCACTTTTTTTCTTCAAACACATTACCCGTCTGCCCTATTTTTATCACTTTCAGTTTTCTCCATCAAACTTCAAATAAATCTGGCAAGTTTGCCACGAGCAGCTGCCCTCCCGCGTTCCCTTACTGTTTGAGCTAGAAGAGTGGGAAGGACCCCACGACCCCAAAACTTGTATGGGCGCCAGGCGGGCCCACCAACCGCGCACCCCCCCCGCGCCTCGCTCCCGCACGGAGCTGTCAGGGCAGCGGCCTCCAGCCAGGCCGCGGCTGCCGGGCTGGGTCCCCGCCGCGCTCCGCTCGCCCCCCGCCGCCAGGAGCCGGCCGAGCCCCGGCGCCCCACGCACCTTCTTTGGTCTGGGCGTTGGTGATCTGCAGGTCGCAGTCGGCCGCCTTCAGCTTCTCGCGGGCCATGATCTGGCGCTTGAGGTCGCACAGGGAGATGTGGAGGCCGTCGAAGGTGACCGTGTCATAGTTGAGCTTGGACGAGAACTTGTAGTGCACGCACGACATGGCTGGGGCCGGGCGGCGCCCGCTGCGGGACGGCGGCGGCGGCACGGCCTCGACGCCGGGTGCGGCCCCGCGGCCAGGCGGGGCAGGGCTGCGCAGCGCCGGGCAGCGCGGGCCGGCGGCGACCGGAGGCGGCTGGGCTCGGGCGGCGCTCAGGGCCCGCGCCGCTCCGCCATGGGCAGGCCGCGCGGCCTGGGCCGGGCTGGGCGGGCGGAGGCCTCAGCGCTCCATGGCGGCGGCGGCGCCGCCAGGCCCCGGCCCCCGCCCCCGCCCCGCGACGACTCCGGCCCTCGCGATCGAGCTGGGCCGCGGCGGCCTCGGCACCCCCCCGGCTGCTCCCCGCCGCTCGGCTCGGCCCCGGCCCCGCTGCGCTCCGCTCCCGGCCCCGCGCGGCGGCGGCGGCGCCCCCCGGCCCGTCCCGGCCCGGTCGCTATGGCGGCTGCGGCGCCCCCGCCTCGGCGCTCCTCCGAGGGGTTTCCCGGCCGCCAACCGCACGGGCCGCCGCGGGCGCCGCACTGCGCGTGCGCAACGGCACGCCGCGCCCACCCCACGTGACTCAGCGCAGGATGACAAAGCGGCCGCGCGGCCCGCGTCACGTGGGCGCCGCCGCCACGCCCTCCCCGAGGGGCTGCGCGCGCCCCCCAGCGGAGCGGCCGTTGGCGGCCAAGGGGCGGTAATGGCGGCGCCTCACGGAGCCGCCTCACGGAGCCACCCCCTGGTGTCACCCCCTGGTGTCACCCCCCGTGTCACCTCACGGCAGCCATCCCCCGTTGTCACCCCCCAGTGTCACTTCACGGAGCCGCCTCACGGTGTCACCCCCCGTGTGCCCCCACAGCGCCGTGTCCCTCACGCCCCCCGCCCGCCCTTTTCCTTTCCCTCCTAATAAATGGAACCAAACCGCACAGCTGCTGCTCATCCCCTTCCCGTGGGTGCCGTGTTTTTATTAACGTTACTATTTTATATCCCCCGTTTGTCCATCGTTCTGCGCTGCTCAGGAGCCAGCACATTTATCACCAAGCAAACTTCCAGCTCCAAACTTCACTGCACAAGGGGTTGTTCCTGGTGCTCTAGAGCCCAGTCCCTGCAGACAAACTTCATACCTGGTACTTTAAACCCAGTACTTTAGAGTATCAGGCGGTGCTGAAACAAACCAACTAAAACAAACCAACCTAAGAGCAGGTACATTTCTAAGTAAAAACAGCGAAGCCCAACAGGCTTGGGAAAGGCAAACAAACAAACAAGCATTTCTCATTAAATTGCTAGGCTAGGAAACCTCTGGCATCTAAACCCTACAGATTACACTCGGGGGGTTCGTGCACCCCAGGGAAAAAGGACCTGTGTGTGTGAGGGGACTGGGCTATGAAGTATGTGGGGTCTGCAGCCTGCACAGGCTGTGCATAAAGCAGTTTGTCTCCACTCGATTGTTTGAGGTTTTAATAATTCCACAAAGGAATGTCAGCACATCCGTACTACTGTTTTGTTTTTTTTAAGCTAGCTTCCACATAAGTACCAGACCTGACATGCCTATTAAATGATGTTTAACCACACTCAGCAGAAATGTTTGTGTCATATTGGTTTGTTGTTGCAGCAGATGAAGAATTATTCATTTATAACTTTAAAAAGTACACAAGGAACCTCACAGGAAGACGAGAAAACACTTGCGTGGCTTTCAGAGAGAGCTGGCTTAGGTTCTGAAAGTCTAGGCAAATACGAGAGCAGCGTTGTGGTTTGGTGTGCTCTGTACACCTGCTGGCATCACCACTATTTTTGTAGCTCTAAGTTACTTCTGCGACTTTTAACCCTTTTGCTTTCAGATACATTCAGCAGTGAATTGTCCTCCACGTTCTGCAAAACAACCTAAAGCATAAGTTACCCAAGGTTTGCTGTCACTGTTTTAGGTCAGACTCACAGATTATCTTTAAAAAGAGCAATAAAGAAGGTATTTGGGTTAAAATGTAGTCTCATAGTTTTTCCATTACAGATTATTAGGAGCTGTGTAGGAAGCTTCCTCTCATTTACTCCTTTATTGATCTGGAAGCAGCTTATTTCTCTGCACATTTCTGCCGTGCTGCACCGAGCACACTTTTGCCAAGCTGTCTGTGCGGCTTCCTTCTGAGAATCCGAGTGTTCAGAGTGAGTGCTGCCTGTGACAACGCTGCTCCCGAATGTCTGGGAAGTACCTGCTGTATAAAAAGCAAACAAGTGAACAAACTTGAAACTAGAAAGGGCAAACTATTTCTAATAACTTCAGAGCCACAGTAGTAAGTCTGCTGGAAAAAGACATGTAAATAAGCAGGGTGGCATAGTGGGATGGTCTGTGTTTGCATTTCATTCTTCAGTTTGTTTTGTTGGGAGCAAAGACTCCCCCTCCTTTTTTATTTATTTATTTTTTTTAATTTTTTTATTTTATTTTTATTTTAACTTTAGCTGTGAGCTCTACACAAGAAGAGTGGAGCTTGCATTGCCACGAGCATTTGGGGCTCTCCAGCAATCTGAGAGCCCAAACCAGCACCTGCAGAGCTGTCGGCCCACTTGGCCAGTTTTGCTGGAATATCCACATGGCTCTGTAATGTCACAGTTCCACAGCTCGGTGTCATCAGTGCAGCTTCTGAGGTAACATGCTGTGAGCAGGCACTGGTTAAAGCTAAGCTTTAATTAAGGATGACAATACCATCGGTACACTAAGAAAAGAAAAAAAAAAAAAAAGAAGGAGAAAAAAAAGCATGAACAAAAAGCAACAAACCAACCTCTGGTTCTTTTCTTCTCCTGCTCCCTTCTGTTCAGCTGCTCTGTGTACAGCTCGTGTGCGTACACCACACACACCAAACCGTGACTCACAACTACATCACCCCAACTTGTTACCATTGGTAACTTAACACATTTTGAGCACAGTGATCAAAACTTGGAACCCATGGGGTGGTAAATGAAGGCCATCCAAGAGCAGCATCATGCAGGTGTCTGCACTTCCACCTTGCTGACCAAAGGGAGAAAGCAGGTGTTGAACCAGCACGGCCACATCTGTGCCCAGCCAGGAACCACATTACAGGTGGCAGCACACCACATTCACCAAGCTCCCAACTTAACCTTCATATCCACAAACCACTCATGGTCAGTGCCAGAAACCAGCACGTTTCCCAAGTGTGACACATCCACAGTTGCTCTCTTCACTCAAACACTCACAGACTATAAGGGTAAGGAGAAAAGTGCCATCATTTAGTATAACCCTCTGCATTAAAACACACAGCAGTGGGTGAACCATGGGTGATCTTGATCATATTCTTCCAGCTCTGAGGATACTTCAAAGTCTCCAGAAGGTTTTCTTGCTATTTCCTCCTGAAACCAAAGCTCACAGCTGGAAATGGCACTGCGGTTTTCTGCGGGGAGGTCCTCACTTGAGCCGTATCGACCCTTTGCCGGTTCCAGTTCCGTATTGCACCTGTGGGATCTGATTTCTGTACAATTCTATTGATTTTCCCTCTTAGCCACAAGCTTAAAACTCTGATGATCCTGGATCGAAGCCAGCCTTCTGCAGGCAGGATATTCCTTATGCGGTGGCAGTCCGCAGCTGTCTGTGCAGCACACCTTTCCGGCTGCTAAGCGTGAAAGCTGACAGAGTTGGAGCTCCCTGTCTTTGTACAGGGCTTTATAAAACTGTTTTCTGAGGAGAGAAAAAAGAAGGGGATTTTGTCAAATATAAGGCAAGGGGCTGTTAGTGCTGAGCCACATTCTGCCAACGAAAACAGGAGGAATGATAATGATAATCTGCTTGCAAAGGGACTAAACCCCACTTGCTCTGAGTGCTGCAGAGCTCTGATCACCCACCTGCACTTCACTTGGGCACAATTCTGGGTTAGAAAAGAGCCCGGGGTTCCCAATGGGCATTTTTTAATCCCTGGGATATTTTCCAGGAATTGTCACTGAAGCTTTCAGATTTCTGGTTTCATGATTCCGAAAGCTTCCCAAGATGAGAATGCCTTTGCAAGGCCAGATGGAGAATCCCAAACGCCAGTGCAGCCTGAAGGAGGGGAGGTGCACACCTGGTGTCAGCAGTCCTTGGCTCTCCGCCCCTCCAGCTTTCTTTCCTAAAACAATAGTATCAGCTGAGAAAGAAATACGGACTTTTCCTTATCTTTGCCACCATAAATAGAAGGAGCTTTGTCAGAAACAGACCAAAGCTAATCAGAACACATCCTCTTGTTTTTAATAAATATCCCGTTCCATTGTTCTGAGTTCAAGACTGAAAAATGGTGATTTGGGCACTGCCTGATGAATGCATGTGAAATGTGCTGGATTGATAGTCCAGCTGGGGAGCTGTGAATCCTCCAATTATTTTCAGAACAATACAGAATAACTATGGGATGAAGAAGCAGAATTCTTTTATTTTGTGCCCTGCCACCATCCCTAACTGAATCACTGACCCTTCTGCTGGAACAGTTAAGGAGAAGCTCGGCTGTGACATTTTTACCTGTGTCTGAGAACTGGAGAAATACCGCAAGTTCATTTTACTGCCCAGAGTTCCAGCATCCCGTGGCTGCCCTGTGGTTTTCCCAGCTTGGGCATTATTTGCTCATCCCTATTCAAAACCCAGGGGTGGAAGTTGGCTTTGTTAAAGTTCCTGGGAGCCTTCTTACCCGCTAGTGTCTGCATGCTCTCCTGTAAACTGCCCAGCTACTTTTTCATGAAAAAATCCATTACAGTTCTGGGACGATTCCTTAAAGATTAGGGTCTGTCTAGCTCATTCCCCATGGTCAGGGCCGCACCCCCAGCCATCCGTCCAGCATCGCACGTTGCCGTGCTTCCACTGCTCTGCTGATGTACGGCTGCTGGGGTGGCACTGGCCGGGAAGAATGGGCCCAGGGGCCCAAGTGAGGTGTTATTTGTTATTTTAAGTGCTAATAAATATTACAGATATCTGTGAGGGACTGTGCTGCAGTTTGCGAAGTGAAAGGAAGGAGAAATAATGAACAGTCAAAGGAAAGGGACCTAGGGAGCCTAAGACACGGAGGAACAGTTTGATTTCACAGGACCACCTACAGTTTATTTGGCAATGTCACATACATTTTCTGAGATTAATGAGGGATTTAACTCCCCCCACAGGCTTAGTGCTGTTCTCACAGTGGTCTAAATCACCAGAAATGCTCAGAGGTTTTGGAATTGCTTGTCCCTACAGTTCTTTTGCAAAGTTGCCTGTGACCAAAAGTGCAATGCCTCTGTGGAAACCTGGCAACTCGGAAGAAAATTTTGTGTGGCTTTTGTCCTGTTGCAGAGACACACAGGATCCGGGCAGCAGCAGCTCCATCCAGCTGGGTTTGCCAGGGCTCTGTCTCTGCTCAAGAACCCCTGCAACAGAAATTTGTTTTCTAATGAGTCAGTGTCACCAGAAAACATTTAGCAAAGCATCGTTATGGGTCAGGCCTCTTCCTGACCAACCTGTCTTTTGGGATTGTTTCATGCCTGCAATTTTCATCTGTAAATTGCTTCTCCAACATTAATTAAGCCTTGAAGTGCACTAGTAGGCAGGAAAGCCTGTGACTGCGGAGCTGCTGACAGAAGTATAGCTGTAACCACACAACCAGGCAGCATCAGGGGGTTCTTCCTCAGCCTGAGACTCCTAAAATCTGTGCTTTTGCTCACTTGGAACCTGGGAGGATTTCCTTCTCATTGAAGGAACATTTCATCCCTGTGGGATTTTGGAAGAGGGCAGAGGACAGCAGGACCCTGCCTGCCCACTGCACTGTGCTCAGCCGGCCTCACAGCTCCAGCACCCGCATCTGCCACTGGCGGGGGAAATCCACACCTTCTTCAGGGATGCCCTGGTTTTGGCTTGGATGGAGTTTTAATTTCCTTCACAGCGGCTAGTATGATGCCATGTTTTGGATTTAGGATGAGAATGATGCTGATAACACTCTGACATTTCCGTTGTTGCAGAGCAGTGCTTACACTAAGTCAAGGGCTTCTCAGCTTCTCGTGCTGCCCTGGCTGCAGGAGCTCGTGGGCTCTCCCTGCTTGGTTACAAGGGACCCGTGGTGGGGACAGACTCGGACACCTTGGTGGCACTGTGCCAACCTGGATGGCCTCTGCAGAAGCTGGATCTTCTGGACACAGGGAGCCCAGGGCCTGCTGTTGGCACATGGTGTGCCTGAACTTGGATAAACTTGGCCGCATCCTCACACACACATCAAAGCAACCCCAGCTTTCCTCCTAATTCTTAGTTTCACAATACATTTTACATCAAAGTTAATTACGGGGATCAAAGGCACCTTCTTTACGGCCTCCAGAGCCCTCCTTTCCAGCCCTGACCGGGCCTGGCTGGCTGTGCGGCTGCTATCACAGGACACAGACACCGACTTTCAGGAGACGGAGTGCCAAATCGCAGCACTGCTGCTCTGCGAACTCCCCGTGCAGTTGCGCTAATCACTCAGGAGACGGTGCTGAGTCTGTGCAATCGGCTGACGATGTGGGCCGTGGTGGCTGGCTTTATCCCTCGGATGCTGCCTTGCTTTGAGTCATCTCAGTTCTGAGTCACCAGCAGCCCTTAATCCCTTGGCGATAAAGTCCGCATCCAGCCCCTGCTACGCAGGTACTTTCACTCCGTGCTTACACTTCAGAAAAAGGAAGGAAATACTGTGCAAGGCGAACTCCTGGCAGGAGCCGTCCTGGGCTCACTTCTGGGTCTCTGCACATCACCTCGTGGAGCCCGGGGCAGGGCTCTCAGCAGGCCCTGGGCTCCTGCCCTCACTGATAAGGTGACAACAGCCCCATGGACAAACAGCCATCCGCAGGGCCTGCCTCTGCCTGGCCCCGGGACCATGCTAACCCACGAGCATTGCTTGTGATTGCTGCACTGCCCTCAGCACCAGCAGTCCAAAATCAAGTGTTATTTGTAACCTCGATTTCAAGGCCTGCTGGGCATCCTTGGGTCAATTGTCCCCAGATTAATTTCATCCTTTGTTAACATGTGTGCTTTACTTCCAGCTTAAGTCAGTCTCAGATAAACACCTTTTCTGCCTCCATTCTCACAGATCTCCACACAGAGGTACTTGGAGACCACAGTCAAGTGAGCTTTTAACCTCCTCTGTGACAAGAGGCATAGGCTGATCTCTTTAATCTCTCACTCCATGCCAGCTTTTCAGACCTTGAGGAGCTCTTGTAGCTCCTGCCAGAACTCTCCAGCTTCTTAACATCTCGCTGGGAGCACGGACACCAGCACGGGACAGGACGCTGCGCTGGTCCCAGCGGTGCTGCACAGAGATAACATCCTCTCTGTGGATACTGCTCAGGCATTTCCCAAGTACCGGTACTCCAGAATCCCATTAGCTGCAGCACCATGCCAGTGCCACTGATCACCTGCCATGACCCCAAAGCCTTCTGCAGAGCCACCCCTTCCCAGGCCACGCTCCCACCCCAGGGACAGCAAAACCCCACTGCTCTGCCAGCCGCGTGCCCTCAGCCCCCTGCATGTCCACGGAACAGCCCCTGGCTTGCACCCAGCAAGAGCCAAATGCAGCCCAGCTGCGGTGTGCTGCCGGCCCCAGGAGGCTGGAGGGAGGCCAGATCCTGCCCTGCCCTGGGCTCAGCTGGGCTGTGTTGGGCCTCACCGAGCTCCCAGGATGGCCCCGTCCCCATGCACTGCTCCCTCATCCAGCGAGGGGGAGCCACGTTTGTCTGCAGGGTTTAAGAGCTACTCGGCAATTAAATTGAATTCTAATTATTGTATATCACATATTAGCGATTTCTACCGTGCTAATATTAACTGCTAACAAGACGATAAGACGTATCAGGCCGTCGTGGTGGAGCCTGTCTTTGCCTGCTCGGGAGAGGTGTGGAAGCGGGGTGGGGGAGGTCAGATGCGGTGATCGCTGAGGACATCTGACAGCGTGGGACATCGCCTGCCCCAGCACGGGGTCAGCATCACCCCTCAGCCTTCCTGGGCTGCAGCTCCAAGCTGGTGGAAATTTGTGGTTCTTGGGCTCGACTTCCTCAGGGAAGGGGCTGCAAGGTCCCGCTGTGCGCAGCCACGGGCTGGGTCTGCTGACGGTGCAGGGGCCCTCCTGCCTCCAGGCGTTGTGTGCCCCTTGGTGCACTTACAGAAAGCATGCTTTGTGGGACCAAAAAGCTTGCCCCAGGAGCTGCTCCCACTCCTCAGAAAGCCCTCATCCTGTCACAGCCAGTGTGTCAAACCACCTCGTGTCCCACGGGGAACACCAAGCAGATCAGGGGAAACCGAACATCAGAGCCAAGGCAGCTGGAAAAGCCTCTGTGGATAAGAACATGCCTCTGGAGAGTTAATCGAGGACAGAATGAGCCCAAACAGCTGCGAAATTAACCCAAACAGAAGTCTTGAAAGGGCCCATGGGAATGGAAACTGTTGGATTTGCCAGGAATCCCTTCCCGAGGGGACGGACTGGGGCTGCCAGGACCCCGGGGCCGAGGCGGAGGCAGCAGTTTGGGGGAGGACACGGGGCTGCAGCTCGCTGCCAGGCCTGGGTGATGGCCCTGGGGAACCCGCAGTGTGCCCGTGTCCCCAGGGGCAGCGGCCTTGGGGGGCTGCCAGCACCAAGGCTGGGGCAGGAGGAGAGCCCCTGGCACCAAGGGCACTCTGTCCCCTTGGCCGGGCAGCCACTGGTCACCTGCAGCGCTGGTGATTTAACATCCCCTTCCTCCCAGTGAGGTAATTCTGTCCCAGGGGTTATTTATTGAAAAAAAAATAAAGCCCTGTGTGAGTCAGACAGTCTGCACTACAAAACAGTGATAAATTACATTTGGACATATGCTAAATGACATTTACCAATAAATTTATGCAGATTTCTCCTGTAATCCTTCTCCTCCATCAAAAGTAGTAATACTTTCCCTAATGCAAATGCACTGCTAGAGCCTCGCCACATCAAACAGGAGCTGTGCTGAATTGTTAAGGATTCTAAATGATAATCTTCATTGTGCTCATGAATAATCATTGCCTATAGATGATTGTTTAACAATGCTTGGAAGAGCCTGACAACACGTCCCAGCTTCCTTCGAGGTACAGCTGTTCCGGCTGCCCAGGTCCATCAACTCTGACGAACCTTGCAATCAGATTTCATGCTCATTTCCCTTCTTGGTTCATGCATTGGCCGTGTAGCATAAGCTTTAATGGGCTCCACTAATGAGCCCTGGGAGGGAGCCGGGCTGCGTGCTCTGCTCTGCTCCTGCGGATTCGCGGCCATCCTGGGTCCCATCCGACCTCCTATCTCCGTCCAGCCCCAGTTTGGTAGGAAAATGCAGGAATGCAGGTGTGGGACGCAGCACAGGATCACATGGGAATTCAGACTGGAAAGGTCCAGCACCTGGCTTTAACCATAACCACGACACACAGCCACGTTCTTGTCCAAAAATCCTGGCTTTTTTGTTTGTTTATTTGTTTTTGTTTTGTGCAAAACCTGCCAAGACATGGATGCTGCTTCTTTTCCCACATCTAAATGGAGTGTGTGCTTGTCAGCTGTGTTACCAGGAAGGAGCCATCCTGCTCGCCCTGCCTGCCCCAGTGTCACTTCTCAGCTGTCCCGAGGGTGGTTTCACTCCCTGCAGGGGCTCCGGGTGCTGCAGCCACAGCACTAGAGGCAGCAGGAGGGGGGGGCGAGGATGGGGGCCACATAGAGCCAGGGGCACGCTGCTGCCCCTCTTTGGGGCTGCGTTTCTGGAGAGCTCAGGACAGAGCAGATGGAGAGATCTGGCCGAGGTCTGGGGACTCCGGCACGTCTCAGGATCTGAGGCTGCAAGCTGCTACCCCTACCGTGACCGGGGTCTGCAGGTGGGACAGAGCAGAGATCACGGTGAAACCCCCAGGGCTCTGGAAGTGCAAAGCCCTTTGCTGCTTTGCCATCCATGCTTTTTATTGGAGAGGTTTCCATTTTTAATCATTTTTAAAGATGATTACATTTTGAGCAGCAATGATCTAAGCTAATGAGCAACCTGCCACTTTGTGGCTCGGCAGGAAAAGTCTTACTGCTGGAGTCTTTTTTTTTCCCCTTCCATCCAAAACACAGACATTATGGAAATAAATGATTTCTTTTCACAGTTGTTTAATATAATTTTCTCTGTGCTGCGTTTTACGAGATGCTGCAGCTCATTAAAATAACGATCAGACCTCGGAGTTAGGACACAGGCGATGAGCAGCAGCTGCAGCAGGTCCCGTATGTCTCATGTGGATGTCACGGAGAGATTTTGGCTCTCACTCAGCACTCAGGACTTCTATTTCCAAAGCTCTCCTGCCCCTGCAGGTCTGGACCTGGTGCTGGGCACCCTGCTGAGTACCGGTGAGGTGTAGGCAGGGCCAGCCACCTCCACGCACATCCAGGCACGGTCACCCCGTTTCTCTCCTGTGAATGGTTTGGGGGGATCCTGTACCAGCTCGATCCCCACCACCCAGCCCCACAGCAGGGCAGGAGGCTGCTTCTCCTGTGGGGTCCCCTCCCGGGGCTTTGGGGAGGAGGGCAGCAGCCGCAGCTCCAGCCCTGCTGCACAGCCGAGGCTGCCTTCAGCAGGGTGCTCCGTCCCCTCGGTGCCACTGAGACAGCGATGTCAGGGGAGAGCCAGGGAGCCAGACACCGCTGAGTGCTGAGCTGGCGGCTGTGGGGAAATAAAAATGTGCAAGAGACATGCAAATGTGTTATAGAAAGTCAAAGAGGCTCAGAGAAAGGCTGGCTATGGCACCCAGACAGAGTGCCTGGGCTCTCCAGGATTCAAGTGCACTTCAGCAGTGCAGGAGAAGGCTCTCCACCGGGGCTCTGCTCTCCCGGGTATGTCTCCGCCGACACGTGCCAAGTTCACAGACACATCCCCGCTTCCCCTGCCAGCTGGAACGTGCTGCACTGCTGGGGTGAGCGGCTCCCGCGCTGCCTCCTGCCCTCACACAGCTCCAGGAGCCTCCGTGCTGGGCCCAGGGGAGGGCAGGACACAGCCTTCACCTTGGGGCCACAGCACTCCCCATGGGGTGCGCTGCAGACCTGAGACCCCGGGGCTCTGCCCATCCTTGGCCCTGGCCCTCCCTCTGCCCATCTCCAAGCCCCATCTCACGCTTTCTGCCTCAGGGCAGACCTGCACGAAGCCCTGGAGCAGAGCCAGGTGCTACTGACCCATGGCCAAGGGCACTGGGATGTGAGGAACAGCCCCAGATCTCTCCCACGCGTCCCTCTGAGCCTCGGCCCGGGCTGCAAAAGTGATGCTGGAGGAAGCAGCCACTGCTGCTTTGAGCAAAACAGGCTGCTTGTTTCTGCAGGAATACCCTAGCTGCCAGGCAAGAGCACGGGCTCCTCGTACATTATTTCCCCTCTCTGTGGGACCAAACGTGGTTTAAGAACTGATGGGAAAAAAAAAAAGAAGAGGAGCAAGTGGTCGCTGCTTTGAGTCTGATGCCAATTAGCAGGTGACTCGGTGCTTCGAGGGGGAAGGAACAGAATAAACTGCTGATCTGTAATTCTGGTGGTGGAACGAAGCGGGACTCTCGTTTTCCTTTGGTCTGTTTCTTGTCTTGTTCCCTGGGAAACTGTTCTTTGTAGGAGAGTTCAGGGAACCACAGGCAGCAACGTGCCGGACGATGTTTGCCAATGCCCTGTGAGAGCTCTGACGGGGGGGCTGGAATAACCACGGGAAACGAGCAGGCTGCAAAACAGCACCGAGAGGAACCCTGCCTCAGAGCACAGCTGTTCATTGCTGGCCGTTAACAACAGGGCTCGCTGAGGCTGCCCCCAGCCAGGGCTGCTCCAGGCTCCTCGGTGCTGCCGCAGCAGCTCAGGGCCCTGCGCTGCGGACGAGTTTCCCGACCCCTGAGCCCCTCTCGGCCACACCGCCGGCTCCGGGAGGCACAGAGGTGGTGAGCTTCGAGGGCACCCCAGCACCAAGATGTCCTGCAGAGGGGAGTGCAGCTCCCCCAGGAGCAGTGCAGGATGTGAGGGTGTCTCCACACTGCTTGTGGGTGCCCCGAGCTGCCCCACGCTCCCCAACCCCTCACTGCGGCTGCCTGGCAGCAGGCAGGGGTGCTCAGAGCCTTCCTCCTTGGATGCTCACTGCTGGAGCCCTCCTGCAGAAGGAGAGCACCCCTGGGGTGGCTGTGGGGGCTACTGTAATATAAGAGCACCCAAAAGGGATGGCCTGAGCCAGCTGTGGCACTGGGGAAGGACTTAGGGGCCTGTCAGGCTCTGCCAGGTTTGCCACAACGTGCAAAGGCAAATGGTTCTGGCTGCAGAAGCTGCGCCCACAATCAATGCAGGCTTCCAGT